AGGCGGGGGTGGCCCCCAGGGACTGTGTTCCCGGCCCACCTGGGGCCCCGGCAACAACGGCTGGATGTGCTGAGTCATCTCAGTCCGGGACGGGTTTTATGCGGGGGGAGGGGGGGTACTCAGGGGACCCAGTCAGGGGACCAGAGCCTGGGTGAGCCTCCTTCCTTTCTTTGCTGGTGGGCGCCGAGCCCAGCACCCACAGCCCCACCTCTGCCCTCGGGGGCTCTCATCTGGGTGCGGGGGAGGGCGCAGAGCCTCACTGGCCACGCTTCCTGGTCTGGGGGTCAGACCTGGCGGAGGCCGTGGTCGGAGGAGGGGTGCAGATGAACCTGGCGGGCCTGCCGTGGGGGGACGGTGAGGGGGACACAGGGTGGGGGTGCCTTGGGGAGCAGGAAGTCTGGGCTTATCCTGACAGCGACGGAGAGCCATGGTTGGCTTTAGAGCTGAGGAGACCTGGTGGCCTCTGGAGGTTAAGATGAGGGGCTCTCAGAGCCTGTGCCCCTGGGAGTCTGCAGGGGGAGTGGCTTCCGGTTCACTGTCCTGGTCAGTCTCTGCGGGAAGGTGACCATTTTCTAGGGGGGCGGGGGTGGGGGGTGGAAACAGCTCCTTCTCTGCTATTTCACTTTGTCTTCAGGAGTTACAAGTAAGTTCTCACCCTAAACCCTCAGGATGTAGAGGTGAGGGGAGGTGGTCCTCGGGCGGCAGCCCTGCGCCCCAGCAGGTAAGCAGACACGCCGTGCGTCTGCCACACACAGGACGTCACTCGGCCCCAGACAGGCTCATCCACAGACGGGAAGGGGGCGCGTGGGGGCCCGGGGGCTGCGATGATGGCTGGCGGGGATGGGGTGGGGTTTGGGAAGATGGAAAGTTCTGGAATTACACAGAGGTGGTGGTTGCGTAACTCTGTGAACACACTCAATGCCGCTGAAACACTCTGAGACGGTGGATTCTGTGTGATCTCCCCCCCCCGCACGGACTCTTTTCCCAGGTTAGAGACGAGAGGGTGAGCTGCACGCTTAGCGTCCTGGGCCGCAGCCCCTCCTGAGACGCTGTCACCCCCCGACTCTGGCTCCCCGCCGTGGGGGACACGCGCCTCTGGTGCCTGTAAGCCCCGTTGGGCGCTGCAACAGCACGCGTTTCTGAGAGGCTTCCTGTCCTTGGACAGGGCTCTGCCTCCCTTCCTCGCGGCCTGGGGCTCACCAGCCCCTGAATGACGGCCCTGGGCTTTCTTGATGTTTCCTAATGTCGGTTCCTCTCGCTGCCTTGTAAGGACAGTGGAGCCCCCCTCGGGGTCTCCCCGTGGGCCCAGCGCCTCCCTCAGGTGGGGCCCTGTGGACTTTGGAGCCGCCCGGGTGGCAGGAGGGGGCCTGAGCAGAGACACCGCTCAAGGGGCAAAGGTCTTCCTGGGGGCCCTGCAGGTGGCAGTTGCTTTACAGCCTGGGCCCCTCGGCCTTGGGCTGGACGCCGCCCCCGGGCCCCTGTGGCCGGCTGGGACCGGCGCGCGGTTGCCCGGTGGGGCCTCCTGGGGTGTGACCTTCAGGAGGCCCGGTAGTGCCTGGGGAGGGGCCTCCTGGGCGCCGGGTCCTGGGGTGCCCTCCCCACCAGCCGGGCCCCTCATCTGCGGGCTTGCTGGTGGCCACGGGGGCCTCCTCACCCCTTCCGTGCTGACAGGCTGGGGAGGGGTCCCACGCCGTGGGTGAGCTCCCGGCCACTGCAGCCCTCCCCGCCCCCCCCCCCCCCACACCGTACACAACGTGGCCCGGCCAGCAGTATGACCCACTGACCAACACGGAGTTCTTAGCACGGACAGAAACACCTGTGGGCCGCAAACAAGAATTTCCTGTTTGCCCGTCCGTGTGCTTGGGGGGTAGGGAGCGCTTACCGTGTTTCCGCCACTACCTGGGCCTCCCTGGCCTCAGCTGCCTCCTGCTCAGTGCGAGCCCTGCGAAGGGCCGAGGGCAGGAGTCAGGTCTGGGGCGGGGGACGTGGGGACATGGGATAGCACAGGGGGCTCAGGCCCAAGCCCCTCCAGCTGCTGAGCGGGGTGACCCGGGAGGCCTGGCCCTGCCGCTCTGTGCCTCAGTTTCCTTTTCTGTGAAGTGGGTGGTGCTGGAGTGGGGAGGACCACTTGGTGACAAGGGGTTCTCGGCCTCCATCACCCTCCCCCACAGCCCAGAGACTGGCCGGAGGTGTGGGGGGGGGGGCTGTGCGTGTCCCCCCTGACGTGGCCGGTGGGGGCCGGGGAGGGGCTCTCCTGAGCCTTGTGGGCCCGTAACAGCCCTGGAAAAGTGTCGGCGTCCCCGTCCAGACGCTGACAAATCAGGGTCCATTTGTTAAGCGACCACCTCGCACCCGGCTCTGGATGCTGGGCACGAAGCAGACAGAACGTGACCCTCTGCCGGGGCACCTGGACTGGTGGCCGGACCATCGTGGAAATGCTTGTGGCTTGGGCCGTGGAAGGGTGTCAGTAAGTGAGAAAACCGCCCACAGTCCGTAAACGTTCTAAGGGAGAGCAAAGCGTGAGCCACCGAGACAGGGCAGCAGCCGTGCCCGCCTTGGGGGTGGGTCTGAGAAGACAGCGGGCACAGGAAGCCAGCGGCTGAGCCGGAGGCGCTGCCAGGGCAAAGGCCCGGGGAGAGGCGCTCGCGGGCTGCAGGGCGGATTGGGGGTGACTGGTGTCATGAGGTCAGGGCCCGAGATGGAGCGGGTGTCCAGCCTGGGCTTGTGGCTGTGGCGGGCGACCGGTGTCCGCCCCACCTGGCCCACCGAGCGGGGCAGAGGCCGGGCTGGGCAGGGGGTGCGTCGTGTCCCCCAGTGTGACTAGGAGCCTCGTGAGGCAGACAGCGCTGCCCCCCAGGCCCCCGTCCCTCCCGTCTGGCCAGGGAGGCAGGGGACGGAACCCGGGGCCTGAGCCCCATAAAGCGGGGGGTGGGCTTCACTGCCCCACTTTGCTGTCAGCTGCTCACAGCGACAGCCGTTAGAGCGGCCTCCCCGCCGCCGGGCCGCCACGTCCCCCTTTATGGCCTCAAACAATACCCTGGCCCCACGGGGATCTGACCGGGCCTTGCCACAGGCCTATCCATCCACCATTTGGCCTCGGGGTTAAAGCCCCCCCACAGCTGCCAGGTCGCAGGGTCACTGGTCTCCACCCTGGGTCTCAGTTTCCCCGGGACACGGGTCACCAGTGCTCCAGGAGGTCCTCAAGGGTGGGGGACTAGGGCCGGAGGGACGGGGTCCAGGGAGTTCAGGCGCAGCCCCCCCCGCCCCCCGTCACAGTCTCAAAGATGGTGCCCCCTCTCGGGAGGGCGTGTGGGAGCGCCCCGGGTCGGCTGTAATGCAAACAGCAGGAGCTAGTTCTCCCGAGGTCGGAGCCCATGTCTGAGGCCCCCTGAGGCTCCAGGGAGGGGCCTTCCTGCCTCTTCCAGGCCCTGGCGTCCCTCGGCCGCGGGACTTCGCTGTGGCTGTGTCCTTCCCTAGAAGGACACGTGTTGTGGGATGAGGGCCACCCCACCCCCAGGACAACCTCAGCGTAACTGACGCATCCTTCGAGACCCCGTCTCCAGATAAGGTCTCACAGCTAGAAGTTCGGGGTGAGTTTGGGGTGCCTGCCATTTCGGGCGATGCTCCCACAAAACCCCGTGGCCCTTCTGCCCACGCTGAGGCCAATCAGGGTTCATCGAATGGCCATTTACGCAGCAGCTGCTGTGTGCGTGAGCCCGTGTGTGCTAGCGACAAACCCGACGAGGCCCCGCGTCCCCCTCAGCCTGGCCGACGGGTGTGGGGTCCCGCGGCACGCGGTGCTGGAAGGGCAGAGAGTGGGTGGGAGGCGCCGGAAGGGGCTGGGCGGGGCGAGTCGGGACGGTGCAGGGGACGATGGCCGGGGTCCACCTGCGCGCCGCACACCCTCAGGCAGAAGTGTGGGGCCGCCCTGACCACCATAAATCAGCCCAGGAATGCAGCCGGCCAGCCTGGCTGGGGCAGGGCAGAGACACACTCAGCCTGGACCACCCCGGCCGTGCCCCGGGGCCTCACGTCGTCTCTGTTCCACCGATGGGGAAAGCAAACCCCAGAGAGGGGCAGGGTGGCTGAGGGGTGGCCAGCCCCAGGGACCCTGCCTCCCCAGGCCCCAGGGATGCGTCCAGCAGCAGGCGCTGGGTATGGGTGCGTTCCTGGGCCCCCGTGCTGGATTGTCCCAGCTGGGGCTGATTGGTGGTTTCAAGCCCCCCCCGCCCATAGTCCTGAGCCCTCTGGGTCCATTCTCCAGGGCTTCGTTTGCAGGGTGCTGTTTGCCACTGCCCCCTCCAACTCCACCTCCGCCCTCCGTCACCTCTGCTGCCTTCCCTCTGCCTGCCACCTCCCGGGAGCCAGTGGGTCAACGTGGCCGGGGACCCCTGGGCCCCCCGCCCGAGCCCCCTGCCCAGTGACTGGAGAACCCAGGACAGAGTCGGGCTGAAGGACCCTGACATTCTCAGGCTCCGGTTTCTCACCTGCCCCGGGGCCTCAGTTTCCTCCTCTGCAAAATGGAGCCGCCTCTCGGGGGCCGGCACTGGGATGTGCCCCTGCGTGGCTGCCATCTGCGCTGTGTCTGGGACGAGTTGTGTCCCCCAGGGACGTGTTGGAGACCCGAGTCCCGGTCCCCGAGAACAAGCTTCTGGAACAGGGTCTTCGCAGATGTCAGTTAAGAGATGAGGTGGCTGCATCTGGGGGTGGGGTCCTCGGAGAAGCAGCGTTCTGACCGACACGGAGGAGGCCGGGCGAGACCCAGGCGGACCCTGGAGGGACCTTAGAGGGACCTGGACCCCAGCAGCGGGCGGGACCCCTCAGGACACACCTGGGTCTTGGGCGCTGCCCTCTGGGCAGTAGGAGACTGAACCTTTGTTCCAAGTGGCCTGGTATGTGGCTTGGTGGCCACCGTGGGAGACACATGCGGGATTCTGTGTCTTCATCTGAACGGGCCCTCGGTGGGGACGCTGGCAGCTGACCCCTCCCCTCCCCCACAGCTCTATGAACTGGACGGGGACCCCAAGAGGAAGGAGTTCCTGGACGACCTGTTCAGCTTCATGCAGAAGCGAGGTGAGCGGGGCCTGCTTGGCAGCCGGGTCTGAGGGGGGTCACAGGTGGGCGCGTCTGAGGGGTGGGAGGCCTCGGGTCCCCAGCCTGGAACTGCCAGGTCAGGCGTCTTTTGCTGCCGAGACCCGAGGTGTGATGGAGTCCTGGCTCCTGGCCCTCCCCCCCCCCCCACTGCCCCAGAGTCCCCTGCGGCAGAGCCAGCCTGCGGGGTTGGGAGGGCAGAGGCGAACGCAGGGAGGGGCCGGGCAGTGGGACGACGAGATAGAAGTCCCTCCAGGCGCTGGAAGGCATGGTCTAGACCATGGTGTCCCTGTGGCCGCGGGTGCCAGCTTTAGTCCTGGCCCCCCCCCACCCCCGTGCCAAGGGGGCCTCAGTTCCCACATGTGTGGAATGGGCCGCAAACAGTTCCCACTGTGTGGTGGCACCCCGATGTGCTGAGTACAGGGCTGCATTTATGAAGTGTCAACAGTGTACCAGGCCCACGCCACCTCTGCAGCCCATCCCGTCCCCAGGCCCCTGGGTCTAGTGCAGTGGATGCCATACGTGGCCTGGCCCAGAGATGTGTGGTGACCGAGGCCTGGGGAGCAGGAAGGTGGCCAGGAGCAGAGGCCCGGGGACAGGCGGTGGTCTGTGTGGGTGACCCTGTGGGGAAGCGGAGACCTGGACAGCAGAGGGCCCGCGCACTCCCACACGTGGCCTCAGCCTGGGCTGCTGCGGGCTGCGGGGCCGAGAGGCCGGGCGGCCTGGGAAGGGGTGTGGAGGGCACTCCCTGCGGGGTGGGGCTCAGTCCTCTGCCAGCTCGGCAGCCCGCCTCACTGCGGTCAGTACACCTCCCACGTTCAGGGAAGGAAACTGAGGCCAGGGAGGGGGTGCATCCTCGGAGCCTGAGGCAGGAAGGGGCGGGCCCACCTGGGGCCGCTGCAGGGGCACTGCTGGCCGCGGGCTTTGTCCAGGGCCGTGCCCCTCCCTCTCCAACAGCCTCTGTAAACACAGGCCCCGCAGCCCAGCCGGAAGGGAAGGGAAGGAGATGGAGGGGAGAGGGCCTCGGCCTTCCCATTAACCCCTCCCGTGCCGGGGTGGGGAGTCCAGACCCGGTCCTGGGGAGGGGGCCCCGTCCTTGTTATCGTGGGGACCAGTCCCCCTGGGGCCTGCTGCCCCCCGTGTGGCCAGAGAGGTCCTCCCTCACTCTCCTTATCGTCCGTCCACACCTGCTGGAGCCTCCCCCCCGCCCCCCCCCCGTCACGGGGCCCTGAGCTCCCAGCCCGGAGCCCACTCATACTGCGCGAGACCGGGCCTGGTGTCCTGGAGGTTCGGGAAGCCTGGGGAGCTGCCCTTGGGTGTGTGTGAGGCAGGGCCCACACCGGGCTGAGAGGGTCCGAGTCCAGCCCCGCCACCCTCAGCAAGCCTGGAGCGCAGGGAGCGACGAACTCCCGTGCAGCCCTCAGAGCCCAGCTCCGGGTCCCCCTTTCCCTCGCCATCTTCCCTGGACCCTGCGCCCCCCCACCCCACCCCCAGTTAACTGGCCGCCTTTGGGGCCAAGAGCGTGTTAGGCTCCCTCCCCACCCGACTCCATCCCACAGCTCTCTCCCCTCCAGACAAAGAGAAAGTAATTTTTTCCAGGTCACAAAGGAAGAAGCTCTGAGAGTTCTCTGGGGGCTGGGAATGCGGGAGGGTCCTGGCTGCGCCCCACCCTCCTGCTTCCTTGAAGACCCCCCCACCCTTCCTTATCTCCCCCCGGCCCCCATGGCCCGTCCTCCGCCCTGCTCCTTCTGTAAACATCCGTCCAGGCCCTGTGCAGAGCGGGGGCGCGGGGTCCCCAGAGGCCCCTTCTGCGCGATTCTTTCTGTTCTTGCCGGTGCAGGACCCGAGCTGGTGCCCGGGGTGGCAGGTTGTCCTCACTTAGCAGGGGTTTGGAGCCTGGAAAGGGCAGAGGTGGCCGGAGGTGGTGTCAGAGCACCTGGCTCTGGGGCCCAGGACTCAGGAGGCCCCTCGTGTGAAGCTGGGCTGGCCCTTCTCCAGGAGCCACAGCCTGGGGCCTCCGTTCGCCGGTCTCGGCGGCAGACGCGCCCCGGACGCTGTGACGCAGGCCGGTCACATCTCATTGTTTCCTGAGCACCCGCCGCGCAGGGGTTCAGGGGATTGAACGGGCGACCCCGGGCGACCAGGCCTGCAGCCCAGGGCCAGAAGGTAGAGCCTCAGCAGCAGGGAGAGTCTAAACCAGGGAGCTTCTCCATCCTCAGCTGGAAGGTGCCAGGCAGGCTGGGCCACCAGCTTGTGCGTGACGGGGGCATGCGGGCAACGGGATGGCAGCAGCTCCGAGGAGCAGCCCACCCCTCCCCGGCCGGCCCCCCATCCCACTCTCTAAGCTGCAGAGTGGATTAGCCAAGCCCTGCCTCCTCCCGGCTGCCGAGACCTGGGGCTGCGACCTGGGGCCTCGGGGGACACAGCTGGGTTGCTGTGGCCACTGTACCTGGTGACGGGGGGGGGGGGGGGGGGGGGGGGGTCACACTCACAAGGGCCGGGCTTCTCACGCATGCCCCCAGGCTGGCCCCACAGCCTCTCCCCGATTTCCGTGCCCCAGGCGAGCCCAGATCGCCGATGGAGAGTCTCTCCTCCCCCTCGGGGGTCCCCTGGAGGTTCTGCCCCCCCCAGGAGACATGGGCGGCTGTGGTTGTCATGACTGGGGAGCTCCTGGCCTCGAGGGGGTGGGGCCGGGGATGCCGCTGAGCCCCCTCAGCGCCCGGGACGCCCTGCAGAGGATGGCCTGGCCCAGTGCGCCCCACGTCAGGAGAGACCCCTCTCTGGTCAGCCACGTCAGCCACAGACATGGTGTCTGCTGTGCACCGGGCTCTGCCCCCACCCCCGCGGCGCCGCCCGTCACCCCACTGCCCCCCGCGCGCCCCGCAGCCCCGCTCCCCGCTCACTTGCGCTCCCCCCGCAGGGACGCCTGTGAACCGCATCCCCATCATGGCCAAGCAGGTGCTCGACCTGTTCATGCTGTATGTGCTGGTGACCGAGAAGGGCGGCCTGGTGGAGGTCATCAACAAGAAGCTGTGGCGGGAGATCACCAAGGGCCTCAACCTGCCCACGTCCATCACCAGCGCTGCCTTCACCCTGCGCACCCAGTGAGTGCCCGCCGGCGGGAGGGACCAGGGGGAGCCGGTGCTGACGTCGGGGTGCAGGCTGCGGAAGGTTCCGGGCCCACCTTACTTGGCTGGGTGGAGAGAGGGGTGTGGGCCTCGTGGGCTGGGGGGCGGGGGGCGGCCGGGCGAAGGCCGCGGGTCCCGAGAGCGAGCGCCGCAGCGGCGTGTGGGCGGCAGGGGCCCGAGCGGGGCGGCTGGCGCCATCCTGTCCCTGCCTGCGCGCAGATACATGAAGTACCTGTATCCCTACGAGTGTGAGAAGCGCGGCCTGAGCAACCCCAACGAGCTGCAGGCGGCCATCGACAGCAACCGGCGCGAGGGCCGGCGCCACAGCTTCGGGGGCTCCCTGTTCACCTACTCGCCGGGTGGCGCCCATGGCGTCCTGTCCTCCCCCAAGCTGCCCGTGCCCTCGCTGGGCCTGGCCGCCAGCACCAACGGCAGCTCCATCACGCCGGCCCCCAAGATCAAGAAAGGTAAGGGCCGCTCGCTCTGGGCAGGCGGTCCGCGGGCGGGATGAATGAGGCGCTCTTCTCCCAGCCCACGCTGCCGCACCCGTCACTGGTGGTTCCCAGCCCCTCGACAGGCTTTACTAATGAACTACTGTACTCTCGCCCGAGTTCTGCCTGTGGACGGCCGTGTCCCTGGCCCGTGGCAGGTGGCAGACCTTAGTAGCTGACTGCTGCATCCTTTCCCCTCTGGGCTTCGGGGCCTTCCCGACCCACCGCCCAGCAGGTAGCGTCACTGGCGTGAGGGCCTGAAGGACTGAGCCCTCGGCCTCCGCCTCCGCCAGCGCTGGGTGTGTCTGGGCAGCTCACTGGCCCCTCCTGGGCTCGGCTTTACTGCCGGGGAGATGTGGGGAAGGTGACCCCTCCTTTGTGGGTTTGTAGAAGGAAAGCCTTCAATGCGTCTGGCCCCCAGCAGGCAGCGGGCCTGACAGGGAGCCCCCCGTTGGTGGCAGGGGCCCCGCCAGTCTCAGCCCCTCTCCCACTCAGGCCCCCGAGCCCCTCCGAGCACAGAAATACCAACGGCGTGGCCTCAAGCAGCCCAGGCCACCCGAGTGTCCGTGTCTCGTCTGCCCCCCAGGCTGGCTGAAGGGTCCAGGGTAACCCCAGGACCTGGGACTGGTCAGATCCTCAGTGAAGGGGCTCTGACTCGCATTCACGTCCACTCAGTCTTTCGTGGACCTCAGTTCACCCAGCACCCCTGCCCCCGCCCCCAGGGAGCTCCAGCTCACCCGTTGGCCGTGAGGCCTCCTGTGGGGGCTGGGGAGGTGCTGGGGGGCAGGAAAGAGGGCCCTTCTGGTGGGTGAGGTGGTGTCCGAGGGAGACCAGAGGGAGAAAGCCGCAGAGACTCGGGCAGAGGGCCCAGCACTGCGGCGGGGGGTCTCCAGGGACAGACACGGGGGGAGTCGGTGGGGAGGGGCAGCAGGGTAGAAGCCGAGGCGTCTGGTTCAACCACAGAGGAGGCGGATGGCAGCTGGTTCTGGGTTCGAGTCCCAGCTCCGCTCCCCGCCACCTGCTCTGTGGTTTTCACAACGTTCCCCCATCCTCTGAGCTTCCTCGTCCGTGAAGCGGCCGTAAGAAGGTTGAAGCCGCCTTTCAAGGAGGTTCGAGCTGAGAGCGTTAGATGAGACACATGGCGCTTCCTAGTTGCTCTGACTAGTACTGTATACAGCAGGCGCCATGACAGTATCTCTCTGTGACATCAGTGCTGGATGCGACACTGTCATCCCTGTCGCGGGTGGTGTCCAGCATCAGCCCGGCCGTAGGAAGGATCTGAGGGCACGTGTGTCTGTGCAGAGGCCTGGCTGCTTCCCCGGGAGGCCGCGTGCGCCCCATCAGCGGAGGTGTCTGAGGGGGCGCGTTCCTGCTTCAGGCCCCTCTGCCACCGGCTCCTCTTCTGTCCTTCTAGAGGAGGACTCGGCCATCCCTATCACCGTGCCCGGCCGCCTCCCGGTCTCCCTGGCGGGTCACCCCGTGGTGGCCGCCCAGGCGGCAGCGGTGCAAGCGGCGGCGGCCCAGGCAGCCGTGGCGGCCCAGGCAGCCGCCCTGGAGCAGCTTCGGGAGAAGCTGGAGTCTGGGGAGCCGCCCGAGAAGAAGATGGCGCTGGTCGCTGACGAGCAGCACCGGCTCATGCAGCGGGCGCTGCAGCAGAACTTCCTGGCCATGACCGCCCAGCTGCCCATGAGCATCCGCATCAACAGCCAAGGTACCCGCCCACTGCTCTAACCTCCCTGCTCCCTGCGTGGCCACAAAACAAGGGCCTGTAGTCCACACACGTAAAGAATGCCTACAGATCAGTAGGGAGATAAAAAGATACGCCCATAGGAGACACGGGCAGCTGTGACGAGTAGGAAGCTCGCGTGGAAAGCCGAGTCGGGTCTGCAGGTTAGCAAGGAGACGCTGTTTTCCACCCGCCGGAGTGTGAGAATATCCATGTCGGTCCGGATACCCGGGCACCAGGCCCACTCAGGCCGCTGCCGGCAGTGTAGAGAGGAGTGCGGGGCGATCTCTTTGTAAAACAGAAGACGCTCTTGCCCTGTGGCCCAGTGAGTCTCCCCGGTACCTGCCGCACCGCTAGTGCAGACGCTGCAGGAAGCGCACGGACCCAAGGGCCCTTCACTCCCGCGCTTGCGAGATGCCGCTTGTGATAGTGGAGCCCTGAAGCCACGCGCGCGTCCCAGCAGCGGGGCTGGCGCGCGTCGGGCCCAGACCGCTCTGCGGCTGTGAAGCAGCGGGGGCTGAGTCAGGCGTCTGACGTGGCTTCAGACTCGTCGTGAGAGAAGCCGGCCGAGAGCAACACGTTCTTCCTCCGTAGACACTTCGCGAGTACCTGCTGTGCGTGCCGGTGGCCTGCGGTCCGCGGGCCCACGCGACTGTGCGTATGCTGACGGGGTGTATTTCCTCTTCCCGCAGCCTGTGAGAGCCGCCAGGACTCGGCCGCGAACGTGACGAGCCCCAATGGCAGCAACAGTATTAGCATGTCGGTGGAGATCAACGGGGTCATGTACACAGGTAGGCCCGGCGGGCCCCACGCCCCCCGGTAGCTCGGGAGCCCCAGGTTGTCCCCCCGCGCCGGTCGGGCCGCCTGGAGCCCAGCCACGCGGTCTCCTTGCGAGAGCGCGGTCAGGCCGTCCACACAGCGTCTGAGCACAGGGCGCGACGCCCAGCGAGTGTGCAGAGACCTGCCCTCGTCACATCTTCCTGTCCGAGTGCTGTTTCCCAGGCCCCCCGAACCAGTGCCCAGTCGGCCAGGAGCTCCCTCGGGCCCCCAGGAGGTGCTGCGGACACAGAGCAGGGGGCGTCCCAGGGGCGGCGAGGGGACCTGTGGCCTCCGTGGCCCCACAGGCCCATGGGTGGCTGTGCGGGGGGTCAGTGCTCAGGGCTTTTCCACCCCGTGACGCGTTTCTCCCCTGTCCTCGCACTAGGAGTGCTGTTCGCCCAGCCGCCGGCGCCCGCGCCGCCCCCGGCTCCCGGCAAAGGCGGCGGCGGCCGGGGCGGGAGCAGCGGGACCAGCAGCGGCGCTGGCAGCCAGGCCAGCCTGTCCACACCCGCCACGTCTGCTACCTCAAATAACTCACTGCCTTAACCGCCCCGCCCCCCCGCCCCCCGCCCGCCTGGGTGGTGGGGGCTCGAGGTGGGCCGAGCCGGGGCCGGGATGACGGAAGATACGGGTGGGGAGGGAGGCATCCGCAGAGGAGCCACAGCTGACGCCAAAAAGAAAAGAAAAAAATATATACATATATATATATATAAAGAAAATTTAATAAAACAGGGGAAAACCAAGGAACACTTGAATTACTCAGGTTTTGGACATTCAGAGACGTGACTCGTGAGAGCAGCAAAGGAAATTGGAAAGGAGAGAGGCGCCTGTCTCCTCGGGCCTCCGCGCAGCGCTGCGGGCCGCCGGGCTGGGGGCCGGGCTGCGCCGGGACCAGCCGCTGCGGGAGGCCGTCCTGTTTACCTCATGCATCTCTGCACTGTGTGTTTTCATTTTTGTCTGTTTTATTTTCCCTTTTTTTTTCTCCCATTCATCACACACCACAGCCAGATCCTTGTGTTGAATGAAACCCCTGAGCCACGATCAGTAGAATTTTTTTTCTCATTGCTTTTAGGGAACTTTTTTTTTTTAAAGAAACAGTGATACTCAAACTCTATAGGGTTTTTAAGAGGTTTCGGGGTTTTGTTTTGTAAATAATCTATTTTATTCTTGGGGGAGGAATCAAACTTTAGAAAAGGATATATATCTATATATTTGTGTTCATTCAGGGAAACTGGACTTAAATGCAAAAAAAAAAAAAAAAAGAAGAAAAGAAAAGTAATACCCTTGTTATTTTCCCATAACTGATTTGGGTCCCTTTGTGCGTGTCCCGTAGCGCGGGGGCAGCTAGCAGGCCCAGAGCCAGGAGAGGTAATGAACTCAGGTGCTGTGGGGGGCGGGGGCGGGGTGCGAATGCTGAGCGGCGGCCGTGGCTTCCGAGCGTGGCATCGTGGTCCGGCTTCTCTTGCTGTGCTGTGTGTGCTGGCCCTCCCGGCAGGCGGAGGCTGCAAGTCTTAAGTGGAAAGCGCAGGGCGAAGGCCCGGCCGTGGGAGGGAGGGAGGGACCCACTGTGGCAGCCACGGGCTCCTGTCTCAGGGTCTCAGGGATGAATGTGGCCTGGGGGCTCTTGCGTGAAAGGGCTGCTTTGGGAGCTTATCCGTACTGGGGACTGGGTGAGCCGGGCTTAGCTCAGGGCGAGGTTTTTGGGGCCACGGCACCCTGAGCCCCCTCAGTTCTCTGCTGCCGTGTTCTCTCTCTGCCCCTTTTGCTTTGGGCCACAGCTCCCGCAGGAACCGGGGTAACTGAGTGGGGACCACACCGGTCCCCACATGCCGGCCTCCTGGTTAGAAGGTGGGTTGGGGAGAAGGGGGTTATCGCAGTGGCTGGGGACGGGCTTCAAGGGGTGCAGCGTCAGCCCCAGGTGGGTCTGGGGACTTTCTTGGCCACCCTGCCGTCACCCGGTCCCCGAGGACCGGGTGGTGTTGGGTAGTGTTTTTCATGCGGTGCCAGATTTATCGTTCCCCGGGGGGGGGGGGGGGGGGGGGGGGAACCTGTGCTCCCTAATTCCTAATTGGGCTCAGGAGGCCAGCCTCCCCGCCCCAGGCATCACCATGTAGCCTTGGAGACCTGAGGGGGGAGGTCCGGAGCCCCCAGGTCTGGGTTTTCTTTTATGCGGGGCTTCGGTGTGTCTTGGGAAGGCAGCCCCTTTCTCTGGAATATCTCAGGGTCGTTGACACCCCACACCCCACCCTTCCAGGAATGGGTGGCAAGAGTGGGCTTTCCTCTCTGCTTTTCCTTCTGGAAGGTTCTGCCCTTCCCGTCTGTCACTGCAGCAGCACAATCATTGGGTTGGGGTGTCTCTTTGTGTCGGGCACAGTCGGGGCCTTCTCTGTTCCTTCTCTGCCCCACACCTGTCCCGGGGGCGCCCTGGGCCCACGTGTGGGGGGGGTGTCTGCAGCGCATTTCTTCCTACCTCAGGTCTGACTTGATGCCAAAACCCAAGCCCGGGACAGACACCTGTCCCCTCGACCTACCCCCCCCCGCCCCCGCTGGGGAAGCCTGTGCGTCCGCTTTGCTCATGCGTGTGCTGTGTGTCCACGTGTGTCATGTGGGTGGTGTGGCCTCCCGGATGTAAGGCAGGGTGTGGCCCGCTGTCCCAGTGGTGACTGTAGGGACAGGTGGGGGCGGGGCACGGGGGCGGGTCCCACCCATCAGGCCACAGCCACAGGCCGCCCCTGTCTGCCTTCAAACCCCTGCCGCTCTGGTCTGGGTTAGGGGAGGGGAAGCTTTCTGGGGTGCGGATGGGCACCCCGTATGCAAACGCAGGTGGGGCTGGGGGCCGCTGTGTCCGCTCCTGGACACATCCAGAGCGGGTGCGGGCAGGGAGGGGGGCCCAGACTCAGAGACTCAGGGCAGAGAGGGGCTCACTGGGGCTGTCCTGCTGGAGAGGTTGCTTCTAGAATCTTCCATGCGCCCACCCCCAAGCTGGGGGCCGGGCTGTCTGAGGGCTGGCCGGCAGGTTAGTCTCCATTCTTCTGCGTTTGTACACCCACTTTCCACTGTATCGTTTTTGCCCACCATTTTTTCCTCTCTTGACTTTGCTTTTGCATGTTTCCTGGCAAACATGAATTCAGCCTTTCATTCCCGACAGAAATTTCAGGTTCTCTGGGGTTTGTCAGACGGCGTGGGTACCACGCCAGGACTCAGGTTAAAGTGGAAAAAAAAAAAAAACTTAAAAAAAAAAAAAAAGGTTTAAAACGACTCTACCTCTGGCCGGGCCGGCCTGGTGCGCCCTGGTAAAAGACTTCAGTGTTTGCAGAACATTCAGGTATTAAAAGGGAAAAAAAAAAAAAAAAAAAAAAAAAAAGAAAAAAAAAAGACCAAAAAAAAAAAAAAAAAAAAAAAAAAAAAAAGAAAGAAAAGAAAAAGACCAAAAAAGAAAAAAAAGAAAGAAAGAAAAAAAGGTGTGTGATTTTGAAATTTAAAAGAACACTGAAAGTTTACATTTTATAACATTATTATGCAGATTGTATTTAAACTTCAAAAATATTTAAGACAATTGTAACCCTGTAAAGCTGATGAGGTATTAAAACAAGACAAAACACTTCTTTTAACAGAAAATGTGTCCTGTGGTGGTTTTTTTCTGCCCTGGGGGGCACGGTGGGGGGGGGGGCTTCGGAGGTCATCACACTTGGGGGCTCCTGGCACTGAGGGGCAGGGCCCTGGATGCCCCCAGATATCAGCCGCGTCCCCAGATACCAGCCGTACCCAGGGGACAGGCTGTGGCCAAGCCACCCCTCAGCATCCTCCTTGATGTAAGTGTCCATCAGCATGTCCCTGGGGACCTGGTACCAAGTGTCTGTTCTGGGGATTTGGGGACGAGGTCCCCCAGCCTGTCTGCCGGCCCCCAGGCCAGCTCTCTGATGCCACTGTCACAGCCACTGTGGGATTTCTAGCCCAGGCCCCCAGAGTGTGGCCTTCTGGTCCATTCCCTCATCTGTCTGGAAGCTTCTGCAGCCCTCTGCCTTGTGTGTCTGCTGCCTCCGCTTCCGTGTGGCCCCAGGTCGCCCCTCAGCTCAGGACAGGGGCTGCGTGGGGTGCCCGCATGGCGCTCCCCAGCCGCACTGGAGCGGGACCCAGCCGGCCCCCCACCTGCCTCCCAGCCCTGTGCTCTCGCTCAGGGCTTCACGGTTTAGGGTTCAGGAGGTGTGGCCCCTAAGAACGCAGACCCACAGGGTGGGTTCGGGTCTCTGCCCAGGGCCTCAGCCCAGATGGAAGGGAGCCCCTGGGCGCTCTGCCTCCAAACCCAGAGAGATCTGGGCCTTCCATTCCATTTACCCTTGTGACCCCCAGGCTCAAGGTCAGCTGGGCCACGCCTGGTGCCCCCCTCCCCCTCCCCCGCTGCCCATCTGGGTCAGCCCCCAAGGCCACCCCCTCGGGTCCCAGTTGGGGGCGCTCCCAGTTTATCCACGGCACCTTCCACTCCTGCTAGAAGTGAGTCAGCTACACCCTGGCCGCAGCCTCCATGCGCCTGGGGGACAGGAGAGCTCGGAGGACAGGTCCATCCACCTCGCTCTCAGCGCCCCCCCCCCCCCGACATAGAAAAATCATTTAAAAAAGGAAAACAACCCTTTTCTGCAAACTGGACCACCCGGCACACATCTTCACTCCTCCGCTGAAGAGGCCCAGAGAGGGGGCTGGCGGCCCTGAGGGCACACGGCCCCTGGGCGACCGGGGAGGGGTCAGGCGCCATCACTGCCCTCCCAGCTGCCCAGAGCCTCGCAGCCTCGCCCTAGGCCTCCTGCTCAGGCTTGGGAGGAGGCCAGGGAGGCTCCTGGGAGTCCCTTTTGGAGCCGAGGGACCCTGCAGGGAACCAGGGTTCAGAGCGGATGGCCGAAGGGATGACTGAGCAAGAGGGCTTCCACCCGAGTCCTGGCCTTCCCTCCCACCATTAGTGCCCCTGAGGGGCGCTGCCCGTAGGAAGGGGCCCCGTGGGCCAGGACACCAGAAAAGTGGAGTCTGGTTTGATCCTTTTTTTTTTAATCTTGTTAATGTTTATTTATTTTTGAGAAAGAGAGACAGAGTATGAGTGGGGAGGAGCAGAGAGAGAGCGTGAGCGGGGGAGGGTCAGAGAGAGAGGGAGACACAGAATCTGAAGCAGCTCTAGGCTCTGAGCTGTCGGCACAGAGCCCGACATGGGGCTCGAACTCACGGACTGTGAGATCATGAGCTGAGCTGGTCTGATGCTCAACTGACTGAGCCCCCCGGGCACCCCTAATTCTTCAGTGTGTACCAGCTACCTGCAAACAGGAGGTGCTCAATAATGAAAAAATAATGATGAAGGAGAACTCAGGGCTTAGGCCTGCACAGCTCAGTCGATCAAGCATCTGGGTCTTGATTTCGGCTCAGGTTGTGATCTCACGGGTTGGTGAGATGGAGTCCCGTGTCGGGCTCTGAGCTGACAGCGACGAGCCTGCTTGGGGTTCTCTCTCGCTCTGCCCCTCCTCCTCTCTTGTTCTCTTTCTCTCAAGAAAAAAAAAAAAAAGAGGGTCAGTGGAAGACATCCCACGACTACTTAAACAAAAAAAAGAATTCAGGACTTGGACTGGGGTGGGGGTGGGGGATCGTACCTCAGCCTCCCCCCCCCCCCCCCCCCCCCCCCCCCCCCCCCCCCCCCCCCCCCCCCCCCCCCCCCCCCCCCCCGTCCTCACACCCCACAGCCTCCTGTGGAGACCAAGGAGGTCTGGCGACAGGGGTGGCCCCGGGCAGGTGCCCCCCAAAGTGTGCCTGTTGCCTTTCCCTCCTGACACAACTGGTCTGTCCTCATTCCACACTTGCTGGGCTGGGGGTGGGGTGACCTCTGACCTCCAGGCAGGAGAGGAGGGGGAAGGAGGCCGCTGAGGGGCCGGGACCGCAATCGCCTGGGCCTGCCCCTGCCCTCCGGGCATCAAGTTCACCCCCTCGCACGTGTTAGCAGTTGGTCAGCTCACAACCCATATCTGCTGGGCCTGCCTGTATCCCAGGTCCCCGGAATCTGGAAACTTCCAGGCCAGACTTCCTGGATGTGGACGCAGACCCAGGACCCAAATCCAAAGCTGCGGGAGGCTACGGTATCCTCGCCGTGCAGGTGGGGAAACTGAGGCCCAGAGCTTCACGGCTCAGAAATACAGACTCAAGGGGTGACCGGGTGGCTCTCAGTTGAGCAACAGACTTCGGCTCAGGTCATGATCTTCCAGTTCATGAGTTCCAGCCCCGCGTCGGGGTCTGTGCCGACAGCTCAGAGCCTGGAGCTGCTTCGGATTCTGTGCTTCCCTCTCTCTCTGACCCTCCCCTGCTTGTGCGCTATTTCTCAAAAATAAGTATTTTAAAAACTAAAAAAAACAGGGGCGCCTGGGTGGCTTCGTTGGTTAAGCGTCCGACTTTCGCTTAGGTCATGATCTCACGGGTCGTGGGTTCGAGCCCCGTGTCGGGCTCTGTGCTGACTGCCAGCTCAGAGCCTGGAGCCTGTTTCAGTCTGTGACTCCCTCTCTCTCTGACCCTCCCCTGCTCACGCTGTCTCTCTCTCTCTCTCCTAGAAATAAATAAAAACATTAAAAAAAAAAAACTAAAAAAAACAAAAACAAAAAACAAGTAAGTGCAGATTCGAGCCCTGAGCTGGAGTTTAGAAGAAGGGCCCCTTGGCCCACTCCTGGGAGCCACACCGCGGCCGTCCTCTGACCAGATTCCGCAGAGCACCAGGGGCTCAGGATTCAGATCCGATTTGGGGGAACCAATGTTTGAAATGTGTAAATTAGTATTCTAGTTGTTTTGTTTTTCTTATTCACACTTTTTCTTTTAATATTTATTTTTGAAAGAGAGACAGTGTGAGCGGGGAGGGGCAGAGAGGGGGAGACACAGAATCTGAAGCAGGATTCAGGCTCCAAGGTGTCAGCACAGAGCCCGACGGGGGGCTTGAACTCTGGAACCGTGAGATCATGACCTGAGCAAAGTCAGAGCTTAACCGACTGAGGCCCCCAGCGTGAAAAATAACATTTGAGGGGGCACGTGGGCGGCTCAGTCAGCTGAGCACCTGACTTCAGCTCAGGTCGTGAGCTCACCGTTTAGTCCTTGAGTTTGAGTCCCTGGAGTGGGGCCCGGTGCTGCCCGCACACAGCCTGCTTCAGATCCTCCGTCCCTCGCCGTCTGCCCCTCCCCCGCTCATGCTCTCCATCTCAGAAAATAAATATTTAAAGAACTAAGAAAAAGGGGCGCCCAGGTGGGTCACGTGGTTAAGCATCTGAGTTTAGCTCAGATCATGATCTCTCAGTGTGCAAGTTCGAGCCCTGCATCCGCTCTGTCAGTGCAAAGCCTGCTCCTGACCCTCTGCCCCACTTTCACTCTGCCCCTCTCCAGCTTGCACAAGCTCGCTCGCTCTCAAAAAAATAAGTAAAATTTATTTTCTTAAAAAATAATTTTGAAAACTAAAAACATTTGAGGAGCCTTGTTCTGGGTGGAAATCAGGGGGACTTGGTTCCCCCTGCGGCCTGTCTGAACAAGGAGGTCCCTGCACACTCAGCTCCCCTGTCAATTTACAAGAGTCCTTAAGTTTCCTACGCCCCCCCCCCACACCCCGCCCTCCGGGATAAAATAAAATCCAGGCTGCTCACTGGCTGAAAGGCCCTGCACTGCCCAGATCCAGCCTCCATGGTCGGCCACGGGGCCTTTGCACATTCCTCTCCCATGTTTCCCTCCAATTGTTAGTTCCCTGTGCAAGTGACACCTGCCCTGGGAAGCCCCTCTTCCAGACCCCCAAACTCGGCAGGTTCCCCGCAACAGCCCTTCATCCGCGTCACTGTTTGCTGGGGCCCCAGGGCCGGGAGCAGCCACTCCGGCAGAAGCCCCTTCCGGGTGCGGCCTCCGGGTCCGAGGCTCGCGCCTGCCACCTGGCGGTCGGGCTCGGTCCCCGGATCGCCCACGCCCCGAGCCCCGGTTCGTCGCTCAGGAGGTTCCCTCCTTGCGTCCCCCCATCGTCTCCTAAACCGGGAGGCGGGTCGGGGGAGGGGAGCCGCGCGGCCTTTGTCCCGCTCCGGGGCCCCCGCCCCCACGACGCACCCCGGGGCGCGGCGCGGGCGTCCGGCGTCGCCGGGGACGGGCGCCCGGGCCTCACCTGCGGGGTGACTTCGGACTTCAGGGGCTGCCACTGATTCCGCGCGCCTGACAGGCGCTGGTTCGAGGCCCGGCCTGGGGCGGGCAGCGGGGTGCAGGGTGGGCGCCCCTCGGCCTGAATCGCCACTTGGCTGGCCGGCGCCACGTTCCTGAAATGGGCCCCAGAGAAGAGGGGGGACGGTGGCCCCGGGAGCGCGCAGCCGGGCAGGTGGGTTCGGCGCGCCGGTCGCGTTTTACGTGCAAACGACTTCGAGGCCTGCGAGCTCGGGACTTTATTATTTGCACATGAGAAACAGAAAGGGATCCGAGAGGCCCGGTCACTGGGTCAGAAGCGCCCAGCAGAGACCCCGAGCCTCGACCTCCCCGCCGGTGTGCGGGCGAGGCCGCCCCCGCGCCCCCCGCCGCCCCGCCGGGACCCGGCCCCCCGCGAGCACGTGGCCACGCGCGCGCCCGCCGGGGACGTGGGCGGCGCTCTAGCCCCCGCGGCGCAGGTGCCGGAGTCTCGCTGGTGTGACGTACTTCCGGGGCGGCGGGGGAGGCAGGCAAGATGGCGGCTCCCATGGAAGTGGCCGTGTGTACGGACTCGGCGGCCCAGCTGTGGAGCTGCATCGTGTGGGAGCTGCATTCGGGCGCCAACTTGCTCACGTACCGCGGCGGCCAGGCCGGACCCCGCGGTCTGGCGCTGCTCAATGGCGAGTACCTGCTGGCGGCGCAGCTGGGCAAGAACTACATCAGCGCCTGGGAGCTGCAGCGGAAGGTGCGGGGCGCGCGCCCGGGCCCCGGCTTCGCTGGAGAGTGCGCGGGGTGCCCGAGAGCGGGGTCGGGGGAAGGGTCGGGGGGCCCGCGGGGTCCCTGAACCGGGGCGGGGGGGGGGTCTCGGTTAGGGTGCGCTGCGCATGCCCGGGTCTGGGGTTGGGGGGGGTTGGAGAAGAGGGAGGCTCGCTCCGAGTTGGGCGGGATCGTTGCGCCGGGCCGAGGGTGGGCCCCTGGGGAGAGTGGGGAGCGTCTGTGGGGCAGCCCTCCGTGATGGGCTGGGGAAGTGGGTGGGGCTTGGGGCGCGAAGTTTAACTAAAAGAACTTTCAGGGTTTTCGCTCTCGAAGGCCCCCTGTCAGTAAAGAAAGCTTTCTGATCTCATAGTCTTACAATAAACTTTCTTTTGTTTGCGGCTCATCGAAGGAGAAGAGGGAAAAAAGGATTTTCAGTTGGGGTTCCATGGGTCCGTTGGTTTGGAACGTGAACGTCAGAGGTTTAGGAGAGTCATGCATTTATTTCCCCCACGAGATAACTGCCTTTCATTCTAAGGGCCCATGGTCTCCTTTTAAAAACAGTCAAAGTGCAGCCACTGAAGCTTCCTGCCGCCCAGTTCTGGCGGCTGAAGGTTCTCGGGACAAGCTCTGTGCTCTGGCTTTGCCTGGTGGGGTCCACTCATACTCATCAAGTTTTTCCGTTAGAGAAGTTAGAAAATTGAGGGTCCATGGGACGTCTGGGTGGCTCAGTCAGTTGAGTGTGCGACTCCGGCTCAGATCACGATCTCACAGTTCGTGGGTTCGAGCCCCGCGTCGGGCTCTGTGCTGACAGCTCGGAGCCTGGAGCTGCTTCGGATTCTGTATCTCCCTCTCTCTCTGACCCTCTCCTGCTCTTGCTGTGTGCGTGTCTCTCTCTCAGAAATAAATAAAACATAAAAAAGAAAAGAAAACCGAGGGTCCAGATCACAGACCAGATGTTACGAAAGGCAGGGTTGTGGCACTGGCGGCCTGGCCAGTGGGCTCTCCAGCTGCTTCCTGGACCCTCTGCCTCATGCGCCCCCACCCTCGCCCCTGGAGTGAGCAGCATTCTGCTCTTATCGGGCAATCTCCAGGCCTCCCCTTCCACTCTGCAAAGCCTGGGCTGGAGCAGACCTCTGCTTGATGAGCCTCGATTAGTTCAGACACCCCCGTGCCTGCTCCCAGCTTTCCCGGACTTCCCGCCACTGCCCCCCAGCCCCCGAGCTCCACATGAACTTCTGTCTCTCCAGGACCAGCTCCAGCAGAAGATCATGTGCCCCGGGCCTGTCACCTGTCTGACCACATCGCCCAATGGCCTTTATGTCCTGGCGGGGATTGCAGAGAGCATATACCTGTGGGAGGTGAGAGGAGGTGTAAAACCCGGGTAGCGGGGTTTGGTCTGCGGCGGTGGGTTAATTAGACCGTGTTGTCCCACGAGTTGCTTATGTTTGGGTGGGGGGGACCCACTTCACCACCTGCACAGACAGTGCAGGGTTTGGGGCCAGAAGATGGACGCATAATCACGCTCTGCCTTTCTTGACCTCGCCCACACCTGTAAAACGGCCTTTGTACTTCGCACAGAGGTCTGAGGGCCACAGAGATGGGAGGGGGCTTAGTTATTTCACCCTTGGGGCTTTTAAATCCTAGTGCGTGATTGTAAAACTAGGCAGCAGTTGCTCTGGTGCAGGGAGGGAAACTGAGGCGGGGGTGGTCCTCCAGGGTTGCCCATCATGGTAGAAATCCTCGCTCTGGTCCAGGGAACGTGGGCAGAAATCCGTGTCCCCTCTCCCGATGAGTGACGTCTTGGGTCTTGGCCGGTGGGCGCTGTGGTCCGGCCCTGCTCCCTCATCCTCCTGGAGAATTCTGACCTGTGTGAGCCGTGGACACAAGGGGGCGCTCCACACGGCCTACCCAAGGCAGCATCTCTGGCTGAGGACCGGACTCCAGTGTCCGCCTTTAGCCCTTCCATCTGTGTGGATCCGGGGGCGGGGGTGTGTGCATGTGTCTCCAGCTTCTCCTTGTGTAAGGGCACCGCTCATTGGATTTGGGGCCACCCTCCGGTGTGACCTCCTCTGAAGCGGTTAGACTCGGAAAAACCCTGTGTTCAAGTGAGGCCTCCGGTCCCAGGAATCAGAACGTGAATGTAGGTGTTGGGAACACAGAGCCGTGGCCGCCCAGCCCAGCCCACCTTCCCAGGCTCACCTGTCGCTGCCACCGGGGGCCTCCCCCTTGCCCCCAGCCCCACCCACTGGCCCATCCCCCTGCAGTGGCATCTGAAGACGTGACTTCCCGCTCCTGGGTCGGGCCTGGCTGGTCCTGGAGGGAGGGGCCCACGCTCTAACCAGCCTTCTCTGTGGCCTGGTCACTCTCCTCCACGCAGACAGCACATGCCCTCCCTGGACACTGGCTACATGCTTCCCTCGCCCAGCACTGGTCAGCCGATTCCCAGGGCTCAGAGATCAGGGTGCCTGTGGACAAGGGGGTAGGAGCTTAGACAAGAGCATCATCCACTTGGGGGTGTCCCTGGAGCACAGCTGGGAAGAGGCGTGGCCTCCCTACCACCACCTCCCTACACCAGGCCTCAGTGTATCTCCCAGACACTCTGGCCGTGAACCACTGACCTGAGTTCTGGGGCAGGCAGTGTGAGCAGGCTCTCCCCGGGCGCTCCCATGTGACCTGGCAGCCGGGGGCGGGGGGAAGCAGCGCCCCGTTTCCCACCTTGACGTGTGCACCCTCCCCAGGTCTCCACAGGGAACCTTCTGGTCATCCTGAACCGCCACTATCAGGATGTGTCGTGCCTGCAGTTCACAGGGGACAGCAGCCACTTCCTCTCGGGGGGCAAGGACTGCCTGGTGCTGGCGTGGAGCCTGTGCAGGTAGAGCCGCACCCTCCCGGGTTGGGTCTGGCCACAGCGCACGTGGGAAGAGCCGTGCCAGGGTCCCAGGGTGGGAAGGGGCTGAGAGCCAGGAGGGGCATCAGGACGTGCCCCCCGCCCCCCCGCTGAGGCCGCTTCCTGCACACAGCGTGCTGCAGGTGGACCCCTCCCGGACCCCAGCCCCCCGGCATGTCTGGTCTCGTCACACCCTCCCCATCACAGACCTGCACTGTGGCTTTGGGGGGCCCCTGGCCCGGGTGGCCACGTCTTCGCTGGACCAGACGGTGAAGGTAGGGACCACCCCGCACATACACCCCGAGTGGATCTGTGAGTCCTGTCCTGGCAGCTGACAGGTTCTTGGCCAGCGCGAGGCAGCGACTCGCCTCCTTTTCCCAGGCTGGCAGCTCCGGACACCTCTAATCCCCCGAAGCCTCCCGCCTCAAGGACGGCCAGAGGGTGGACGGTCCAGGCCTGTGTCGGCTTGGAAATTCCCACTTGGCTGTCTGCGCCTGGCGGCTCCCTGGCTCTTGGGGCTTTGCCAGTGGGGGGCGGGGCCGGCAGTGGCTACCGCAGGTGCGGGGAGGGGTCGTGGGCGCAGGAGGCCAGGTCTGCCCCGGGGAAGGCTGGGTCTCTCCGCCCCGGGGCTGCAGAGCAGCCCGAGCACCTGTGCCACCTGCACCCCCAGCTGTGGGAGGTCTCGTCGGGCGAGCTCCTGCTCTCCGTGCTGTTTGACGTGGGCGTCATGGCCGTGACTATGGACCTGGCCGAGCACCACCTGTTCTGTGGCGGGAGCGACGGTGCCATCTTCCAGGTCGACCTTTGCACCTGGGTGAGTGGCAGTGGACGGGGGGGGGGGGGGGGCTCAGTGGCCCGTGGGACCCCAGGCTTCCGCCTCCCTGCTGCCTGGAGCCCCCAGGGCTGAGGCCTGGCTCCGGGCCCTCTCGGCCTCCCCAGCCCGGGCACAGAGAGACGACCTTCCAGCCGGAGCAGGACGGCGGGAAGGCGTTCCGAGGGCACAGGTACGAGCCGGGCGGGCGCGCGCGGGGCCCTCCTCGGGTGACCCCCGACTCCCGGCTGGGGGTCATCTGTGCCGCCCCCTGCGGGGCTCGTCCGCCCTCAGGAACCAGGTGACTTGCCTGTCCGTGTCTACCGACGGCAGCGTGCTGCTGTCCGGCTCCCACGATGAGACCGTGCGCCTGTGGGACGTCCAGAGCAAGCAGTGCATCAGGACGGTGACCCTCAAAGGTGAGGCGTCCTGGGCCTGGGGGCACGCGGCGGCCAGCTCCTCCGGGGGCTCGTGAAGGTGCGCGGCCTCACCGGCTTGTCCGCACCACGGTTTTCTCAGTGAGTTTGCCGCCACCAGGCCCGGTGCTGCGAGTAGAGGCCCGGGGGGGGCGGGGGTGGTGCCCCTGGACAGCTGGGGGGTAAGGAGCGTAGGGGGAGCCGTGGGGGCGGCCTGCACGGCACAGGGTGGGTCCTGACCGTGCCCCGCCCCGGCCCTCCCCCCCAGGCCCGGTGACCAACGCCTCCATCATGCTGGCGCCCGTCAGTATGCTGAGCTCAGACTTCCGGCCGGGCCTGCCCCTGCCCCACTTCAACAAGCACCTGCTGGGCGCCGAGCACGGGGACGAGCCGCACCGCGGGGGCCTCATGCTGCGCCTGGGGCTCCACCAGCAGGTCTGTGCCCCCGACACACGGGTGCACCCCTCACGGGTGTCCCTGCCCCCCACAGGTGCCCCTGCCCCGGGTCTCCAGCAGCAGGTCTGTCCCCCCGACACACAGGTGCACCCGCCCCAGGCCTCTGGAAGACCCTCCTCCGCCCAGTGCAGCTCTTCACCTTCTGTCGGGTTCAGGGTCGTGACCTGACTTGGGCACTGGTGGGCTCGGTGACGGCTTCTCTGACCTTGCGGCTGAGCCCAGCCAGGCGTCCAGCCAGTGAGCTCAGGAAACCCCGGGTTCTCAGAGCAGACGGGTTCAGGAGCAGAGCTCTGCCTGGAAGTTTGTGTGTCCAGCTGCTTCCCCACGGGGCGGGGGGCAGGGGGGACATTCCGGGGATCGCACCCGCCTGTCTTCTGCAGGTCCTCGCCTCGCGCACTCCGGCCGTGCTCTGTCCCCTGTTCCTGTGCCATCGGAAGTGCGCCAGGCCCTGGGGGTGTCTCAGCCCTCCTGCTGAGAGCTGGTGTCTGGCTCTGCTGAGCGCCCGTCTGCCGGCGAGGGCAGCGTGCCCAGACGCTGTCCGGCGGGAGACACACAGCCTCCCCACTGCAGGGGCAGCGGTCCAGCCGCCTCCCTGTGCCTGGGGCTGGAGGCCTTGGCTGACCAGCCGGCCTGTCTTCTGGGGTCTCCTTGACCTTGGTCTCTGCACCTGTCTCAAGGCCCAGCTCTCTGCCCATGGCGTGGCCTTGAGTGTCCCTGCCCTGGGCCGTGTCGGGAGCACACGGCATCTGTCCAGGCTTGGGGTTGGAGCCTGTGGCCTCAACAGACGTCGTGTCCCCAGCCAGGCGTCTGGCAGCCCTTTCTGCACACCTCAGCGTCCCCTCGGTCAGCAGCGTCAGGAAGGCACCTCCCTGGCAGGGCCCCGCCCGCGCTAACTGGGTGCTGCCGCGGCCCCGTCTGTGTTGCAGGGTTCGGAGCCGAGCCACCTGGAGCGAGCCGACCAGCTGCACTCGGTGATGAGCGCCACGATGGAGAAGGTGGGCCTGGGGACGGCCAGGGGGGCGGGGGCTGTGGGGGGCGGGGCGTGGGGGCAGGGCTGGTTGGGGGGCCCCCCCTGCAGGCCGGGGGGGGGGCCGGGGCGTGGGGGGCCCTGGGACCTGCAAACCACCCTCCTCTTCCCCAGAGCGTCCTGGGCGGCCAGGACCAGCTGCGGAGCCGCGTGGCCGCGCTGGAGGACGAGGTCCGGAACCTGCGGAAGGTCAACCGCGATCTGTTCGACTTTTCCACGCGAATCATCACGCGGCCGGCCAAGTGAGCCCCCTGCCTGCTGAGCAGCCTGTGGACGTTTTACGCCCCCGCCCCCCAGGAGCCTTGTTTTCCACGTGCCCCCGCGGCCTTTGGCGCTGCTCTGTTTCTAACAAAAGGACTAAAGCGTCTCCTCTGCCCCCGTCCGTGCTGGGCGGATCCCAGGTCTCGCCAGGCCGCAGGGCCCCCAGCAAGACCTGCCTCAGTGGAGGCCCCTGAGTCCAGTTTTTAAAACTCAGTGTCAAGAACTGACAGTTTTTTTCAGAGGCTGGTCGGCTGCCGCAGGGCTTTCGCTCGACTGTGAGGGTGAGGCCACGCTGGGGGGAGGGGTGGCTCCTGAGGTGCAGGCAGAGGTTCAGAGAGAGCGCAGTGTGGTGCCACTGATCCAGTCCCTTTGATGGGCTCCCAGGGGTCGCCCCAGCCTGGCTCCGGGGGTGGCCGGTCCTGGGCCAGGGTCCTCCAGAGGGATGTGCACCCCCACGGCCAGATGAGAACCTTTCTTGTTGGCCTGAAGGGCCTGCGGGAGGCCAGTTGTCTCTCTCCTGCCCTGGGGATGTGGCCAGTGGTCAGCCAGCACCTGGAGCCCAGCCCAGACAACGGCCCCACAGCCATGCACAGAACCTTCCAGAAAAGTGCCTGCCCCTGACAGCTCAGCTTAATGACCCAGAAGCCATGTGACTGAGCAAGTGCTGGAATATGGAGCCAGGCCAGGGGTCCCAGCTGGGGTCCCGCTCCTGGGCCCAGGGACAGCCCCCCCCCCCTGCCCCGAGCTCCGGGCTCTGTTTTCCCATCTGTAGGCTGGGCACAGGCAGGCCTCACCTGTGGGTCTCCAGAAAGCCTGGAAGATCTGCTCAGGCTGAGGCTCCGGGGCCCAGACGTGAGTGAGGGGCCGTCTGTGTCTGCGGCTGCCTGCACGTCTCCTCGAGTAAATGTTTTGGAAGCAGGTGTGTTGCTCGGCTGGTTCTGGGCGCCCGGCCAAATGTTTCGACCTTCCTCAGGAGGCCGCCCTTCCTGGGTCGGGGTTCTCCGCTGGGGGCGCTGCTCCCCTGCCCTGCCTCCCAGGGATTCGCAGGGTCAGACCCTCAGATGCTGGCCTGGCCTTTCCGCCTCCCGTCTCTCTTCCCGCCCTCTGGGGAGGGGAGGGGCGGGGCAGCCAGCCATCCCAGTTCCCGCAGGGCTGAGGGGAGGAGGTTGGGGGGCGGCAGGGAGCGCTGGCCCGCCCGGTGCGTGGACATGCAATGGCCTCCGGGCCCGCTCTGGACCCACTGCCGTGTCCAGTGGCTGCCTGGAACATCGTCTGTGGTCCCTCCGTGGGGCCTCCGGGGAGGAAGCCACCCTGCTGGCGGGGGGGGGGAGGGGGGCGGCACTGACTGCTTCACCTGGTTGCTGCAGCCTCCAGTAAGCTGCACTTGGGCCCCAGACTCAGTTTCCACATCTGAAAATGGGACACAGCCCTTATGAGTCCGCGGGGAGGCCTCAGTTTGTACGCAGCAAAGCATCGGGTCCGGACCGAGGTGCGCGCGCACATTCTGTGGGAGCACAGGTGACCCCCAGTCGCGTGCAGCCGCTGCAGAGGCGGGGAGGCCAGTGGCCCCCGGTGCCCGTGGGTGCTGGGCACACGCTGGCTTGCTCCAGGGCTAAGCCGCGGGTGCCCGGGTGGTGGGGGCGCGAGGCGGGCGGCTGCGTCGTGTGCTCTAGCGATTCCATGCTTGGGTTCTCACGAGAAACGCAAGTCGGGGCTCAAAGAGGTACTTGCACACCCGTGTTCATGGCAGCACGATTCATAGTCCCCAAACGCCCCCAAGTGTCCCTCTCTGAAGGGAGGACAGTGTGTGTCCATCCACGTGCCGGAATGCGATCCAGCCGCAGGAAGGAAGGGTGTCCTGCCACTGTGTGGACGGACCCAGAGGACACCGTGCGCAGTGACAGAAGCCAGACACAGAAGGACGCGTCCTGCGTGACCCCACTCCCAGGGCGTCCCCAGAGGAGTCCCGTCCACAGAGACAGAAGACTGTGGGAGCCAGGGGTGGGGCAGGGAGTGGGGAGTCCGTGCTTCGTGGGGACAGGGTCTGGGGGGATGGAAGGGTCTGGAGACGGACAGTGCGGGGAGGGGGTCAGGACAGCGTGAGTGCACCTGACGCCACTGAGCTGTGCGCTTGGAGATGGTTACGATGAGGGGCGCCAGGCTGGCTCGGTCAATTAGGCATCGACTTGGTTTTGGCTGAGGTCATGATCTCGCAGCTCCTGGGATGGAGCCCTGTGTCAGGCGCCGCGCCCTGGAGCCCGCTTGAGAGTCTCCCTCTCTCCACCCTCCTGCGGTCTCAAAAAAGAAAGGAAAGAAATGGTTAAAGTGTTAAATTTTATGCATTTTACCACAATTAGGAAAACCCCTGTGTGCTCACTTGTTGAGTCTGCACAGCAGCTGGGAGATGGAGACTGTTACCCCCTTGTTAGTGTGGGGAAACTGAGGCGCGGCGCTCCGGGAGGCTGTCCCGGGTCACGCAGGTGGGAAGTGGCACGGCTGGACTCCCACAGTCTGGGCCCTTCGTCCCGGCCCCGACGGTGGGGGTGGTGCAGAAAAGGCAGACGTGTACAGAAATCCGCAGTTTCAGAGGGCCCGGCCCGTGAGTGCGAGCGCTGGGGGGGCCAGGGCGACCTTGTCTGTTGGTGTGAGCATCTGCGGAGAGGACGGGTCCCCCCTGAGGACCGCACCGCAGCGGGGAGAGCCATGGCGGTCCCTGGTGCCCGGGGCAGGGCCAGCACAGGCGTGGGCTCCCTGGTGCCAGGGGCTCCTGGCAGCCTGGTGGGGACCCTCCCTGTCCTCAGCTGCCTGGCCCGGTGGCTGGACATGGTGGCCTTGTTGGCCGGGACCCGGGCACATGGCTCTGGACACTCATCTCCAAATTGGATCCACTCCGTTGGCTGGCATTTGGCATTTTTATTTGGCTGATGGGGTTTCGTTCCTGCCTCGCTAACACTGGCTCCAGAAGGAGATGCCTTTGTGTGTGAAAAATTAACCGAGATTCAGTCATTAGCACTGGAATGTTCTGTGCCCCGAAGGGTGTTGGAACACTCCCCCCCCTCCCCCCGGGGAGCACGGGCTGAGAGAATCCCGTGCAGGGTCCTGGTGGGTTCAGCCCGTGTTTACGGAGTACCTGCCGCTCGCCAGGGCCACGGGAAAAACCTGGGTCAGAACGCGGGAGAAGGCTCGGACGATGGTAGATGGCAGGGAGCTACGGAAGCTTCTGGAGCAGTGGAGGGTGACGTAACCGTGTCCTTATCTGAGCTTGAGCATCGATTATGGAGTGCCTACTGTGTGCAGCCGTTGGAGACAGCGTAAACAAGCCCGACCCCCCCACCGGTGAGTGGGGAAGACGCCAGTAAATGAGCAGACAAACCAACCACAATTTGAGGGCCCGGGGTGACGGGGGGGGGGGGGGGGCAGCAGGAAATGGTTTTCAGAGCGGGGGCATTTGGTTCTGGGTGGTGAAGGGTGAGGAGTTGTTCTCTGCACCGTTACCTACCTGCCCACGGCTGGAAGGCAGGGTCCCTGTCCGACAGGGTCTGCCTCAGTCTCCCCAGGGTGCACGCAGCGTTGGAGCACACGCAGGGGGGTTGGTGTAGGTAGACCTGGAGGTGAGCGGTACTGCTGTGTGACCCCCCCGGGCCTCAGTTTCCCTGACATCAATGGGCAATGTTCCCAGCCGGGCATGGGCGATCCTGGGGACGGGACTGGGGACAGATTTTGACACAAAGCCCCTTCCTGGCGTTAAGCCTTGGTTTCCTCGTCTGTAGAATGGGGAGTAACTCCCCTGGCACGCAGCTGAGAAGGGCAGTGGGTAGGTCCCATCCCCATGCGGTGTGGGCATCTGAGCCTGTTTCCCGCCCAGGGGAGTGGGTCCCGTTCTTCCCTAGTGGGTTCCTGACGTTGGCGAGCCCGACGGGGCGGGGGCGCGTGCCGGTGCCCCGGGGCGGAGCGTGCGGGGAGGGACGCGCCTGCCCCTCGGGGCGGGGGGGGGGCCGATCCCGCCTCCTGCGCGGCGGCTCCGGCGGCTCCGCCCCCGCGGCGCGGCCGGCAACTTTGGGATGGAGTTTGTGCGGACGCTGTGGCTCGGCCTGGCGCTGGGCCCGGGGCTCGGGCCGGGGCCGGGGCCCGCCGCGGGCCACCCGCAGCCGTGCGGCGTCCTGGAGCGCGGGGGGCGCTCGGGGCGCCTGGGCGTCCTCCTGCCCCGCGCGCCCGCCGCCCGCGCCCGCGTCCGCGCCGCCCTGGCCCGCGCCGCCCTGGCGCCCCGGCTGCCGCACAACCTGAGCCTGGAGCTGGTGGCCGCCGCGCCCTCCGCCCGCGACCCCGCCTCGCTGGCCCGAGGGCTGTGCCAGGCGCTGGCGGCGCCGGGCGCCGGGGTCCTGCTCGCCTTCCCGGAGGCGCGGCCCGAGCTGCTGCAGCTGCACTTCCTGGCGGCCGCCACCGAGACCCCCGTGCTCAGCCTGCTGCGGCGGGAGGCGCGCGCGCCCCTCGGAGACCCGGTACGCGCTGACGCTCGCGGGGCGCGGGGGCCGGGGGGCCGCCCCGGAGTCGCCCGGGCGCGGGGACCCGGACTTCTGGGCCGCTGGTGCAGGAGTCCCCGGGGCTCGCGGGACCTGGACCCCTGACCCCGGGTGCCCCCAGGGCGCGGGAACCCAGAACCGGCGCCCGACCCGGCGCGATGCTTCTGGACCCAGGATGGCCAAACCCGTACGAGGCCCCGTCGGGGGTGGGGAGGCGGCAGGGCCCCCAACTCCTGCGCAGGCCCCCCTTCCTGGGCCTTGGTGATGGAGTCTCCCCGCCGTGGCTGCTGTTCTTGCGGCCCCAGGACCCCTCCGCGGTCCGAGGGCGCCGCCCAGCCCCGCAGACCAGGGACCCGGGCTGTCACCCCCTCTCCGGGTGTGCAGTTCCAGGCGAGGTCTGCTGGCTGAGGGTCTTCCCAACCTCTGCAGACGGGCCTCGCTGTCACTCAAGCCCCTCCGCCCCCTCCCCCCGCCCCCAGTATCTGGAGTTTATTCTCTCTTGATTCCACCTCTGGGCCTGGATTTGGGCCTGAAGTAGAAAGTGGGATATGGATAAGAGGTGACTGAGGGCTCTGAGGACCCCGAGGTGCCTCTGGGACCCACCCGTCTCCAAGTCAGCCAGGAGGGGCCCACCCTAGAGACGTGGGGACTGGTAGGGGCCTGCGCCTTCCAAACGCAGCTTGAAGCCCCCTCCGGGCTGTCCTTCCCTTCAGTGAGGGGAGCCCCTGACTGTAGAGGAATCCTGGGGTCCCATTAACCCGGAGGTCCCTGTCCCGAGGCCGGCCCCCTGCCCGGACCTTGTGGGAAAAAGGTGGGACCCAAAGCCAGGCCTGTGGCGCCCTCTGCTGCTGCCTCCAGGAACCGAGCCCCAGCTACTGTGACTCTGTCTTTGGGGAGGACTCAGCAGCCCCCAGCCCTGGGCATCCTCTCCCCACCTGTGCCACACCCTGCTCATCTTAGCTAGCTGGCTCCCTCTCTCTCGTCCGTCCCAGGCTACGAGCAAATCCTGGAGAACTTTCTGGGTGCCGCTGGGCATAGAGAGCCCCCTCGGCCCCTGGCTTGCCAGGGAAGTCTCAGTACAGGAGGGGTGACGGAGCTGGGTTTTGACGGATGTGTAGGAGTTGGGTGGCATAGAGGGAGAGAGATATTCCAGCCAGGAAATGCAAAAAGCCTCAAAGTGGGAGGCGACCAGGGTGGCCGGAGCCGAGAAAGTAGGCCCTGAGGGTCAGCCAAGGAGGCTGGGCTGTGTGCTGATGGCAGTGGGGAGACAAAGAGGGGTCAGCGCAGGGGTGGGCTGGAGGAGGCAGGCAGGCCACCCGGCTTGGAAGATGACATCTGTTTATTGAGCCCCTGCCGAGGGGGCTGGGAAGGCTCCGCGGGTCCCAGGCGGCCCGCCCCAACTGCGGCCACCCCCTTGCAGAGCCCGTTCCACCTGCAGCTGGACTGGGCCTGTCCCCTGGAGACGCTGCTCCACGTGCTGGCATCCGTGCTGCGGGCGCACGGCTGGGAGGACGTCGGCCTGGTGCTCTGCCGCGTGCGGGACCCCGCGGGGCTGGCGGCCCTCTGGACAGCCCGGGCCGGCCGAGCCCCAAAGCTGGTGCTGGACCTGAGCCGGCCGCGCGCGGGTGACGCGGGGCTGCGGGCACGCCTGGCGCCGCTGGGGGCCCCGACGGGGGGCTCGGCCCCAGTGCCAGTAGCCGCGCTCCTGGGCTGCGAGGCGGCCCGCGCCCGCCAGGTGCTGCAGGCCGCGCCCCCCGGGCCCCGCTGGCTGCTGGGCACGCCACTGTCCCCCGAGGTTCTGCCCACGGACGGCCTGCCCCTCGGGCTGCTGGCACTGGGCGAGGTGGCTCGGCCCCCGCTGGAGGCCGCCATCCATGACGCCGTGGAGCTCGCGGCTCGAGCCCTGGGTAGCGCGGCGCGTGCGGCCCCCGAGCTCGCCCTCCTCCCCGCCGCGGCCGGCTGCCAGGACCCGCGGCCAGCCGGGTCTCTGTCCTCAGGCCGCTTGTTGGCACGGTGAGTGAGGGGTGTCTGGGCCCACAGCCAGTCCCGTCTGTGAGTTGGGGAAGGCACCATTATTGTACACTTGCTGTATACCAGGCATCGTATCCTCACAAGAAATCGGGTTTTGACCCAAAGGTGGAAGCAGAGAAGGGGACTCGGGTGAGGGGCTCGGGCGCTCTGGGAGAAGCCTGCAGGGCAGGGGAAGGGCCGGGTGGGGCTGGCAGGACTGAGCTCCCGCCTGATCCCAGGGGAGCCCTGCAGTGAACAGCGCCCTGGACTCAGGCGGCCTCCCCGGGCGTTAGAACTGGGAAGTTGTTGGCTTCGGGCCTGAGGCACTGTCACCGCCGCCGTGACACGCATGGCAGCTAGCAGGGGCCCCAGCGTGTGCTCTGAGAGGTGGGGGTTCCCCCCCCCCGCTGACGGTGCCCCCCCGCCTGATGGAGCCGCCCCCAGCCTGATGGTGCCCCCCCACCCGACGGTGCCCCCCCGCCCAACGGTGCCCCCCCGACGGTGGCCCCCCAGCCTGACGGTGCCCCCCCGCCTGACGGTGCCCCTCCGACGGTGCCCCCCTGCCTGACGGTGCCCCCCTGCCCGACGGTGCCCCCCCCGCCTGACGGTGCACCCCCCCGCCTGACGGAGCCCCCCCGCCCGACGGTGTCCCCCCTCACCTGACGCCCCCCCCCAGGTTCCTGGCCAACACGTCCTTCCGGGGCCGCACGGGGCCGGTGTGGGTGACCAGCTCCTCCCAGGTGCACGTCGCCCGGCACTTCCGAGTGTGGAGCCTGCGCCAGGACCCGCTGGGCGCCCCGGCCTGGGCCACGGTGGGCCGCTGGCGGGCCGGGCGGCTGGAGCCGGAGCCGGGCGCCACGGCCGCACAGCCCCCGCCGCCACCGGGAGCCAGGGCCCGGCCCAAGCTGCGCGTGGTGACGCTGGTGGAGCACCCGTTCGTGTTCGCCCGCGAGCCGGACGAGGACGGGCAGTGCCCCGCGGGCCAGCTGTGCCTGGCCCCCGGCACCAACGGCTCGGCGGCGCTGGACGCGCTGTTCGCCGCCCTGGCCAACGGCTCGGCGCCGCGGGCGCTGCGCAGGTGCTGCTACGGCTACTGCATCGACCTGCTGGAGCGCCTGGCGGAGGACGCGCCCTTCGACTTCGAGCTGTACATCGTGGGCGACGGCAAGTACGGCGCCCTGCGGGACGGCCGCTGGACCGGGCTGGTGGGCGACCTGCTGGCTGGCAGGGCCCACATGGCCGTCACCAGCTTCAGCATCAACTCGGCCCGCTCCCAGGTGCTGGACTTCAGCAGCCCCTTCTTCTCCACCAGCCTGGGCATCATGGTGCGGGCCCGGGACACGGCCTCGCCCATCGGCGCCTTCACGTGGCCGCTGCACTGGTCCATGTGGCTGGGCGTCTTCGCCGCGCTGCACGTCACCGCCCTCTTCCTCACGCTGTACGAGTGGCGCAGCCCCTACGGCCTCACGCCCCGCGGCCGGAACCGGGCCACCGTCTTCTCCTACTCCTCGGCGCTCAACCTCTGCTACGCCATCCTCTTCGGACGCACGGTCTCCAGCAAGACGCCCAAGTGCCCCACGGGCCGGCTCCTCATGAACCTGTGGGCCATCTTCTGCCTGCTCGTGCTGTCCAGCTACACGGCCAACCTGGCCGCCGTCATGGTCGGGGACAAGACCTTCGAGGAGCTGTCAGGGATCCACGACCCCAAGGTGGGCGGCCGTGGGGCCAGGAGGGCAGAGCGGGGGGGGGGGGGGGGGGGGGGGGGGGGGGCGTCTCCCGGAGCTCACCCAGCCCCCGTCCCAGGACCCGGCCCCATGCGGCCACCCGCTCCTGAGAACATTTATTGAGCGCTTGGCGTGTGCCAGGCACTGGGGAGCCGGCCGGGACCAAACAGGCAAACATCTCCATACCCCAGGGGGAGGTGTCAGGGGACAGGGTGTGAGATGGTATAAAGCATCAGGGAGAAAATTGAGGCAGAGCGGGGACACATGGAGTACTGCGAGGGACACTTTCTCAAATGGGCGTGAGGGACCCTCTGGGAGAGGGTGACATTCGAGAGACTTTTATGTAGATGCGAGGGAGGCATGTTGGAAGAGCAGGCAGAGCAGGTGCAAAGGCCCTGGGGCAGGTCCCGCAGGGCGCCTGAAGCAGTCCCTTCTGAGACAGACCTTCCCCCGGAGCCCTGGGGGCTTGTGGGCAGAGCAGAGGTGCGCCCCAGTTCTCTACATGGTTCTCTTTTTTAATGAACAATTTTAACTCTTCCTGCGTAGGGAGCAGTGAGCCCCGGGGAGGATCCCGGGGTTCAGCTCCAAAATCCACTCCTAGCCACCCGGCTGTCATTTCACCAGAAGTTTTCTGGAAGCCTCCGCACACTGAGCAGGATCCCCTTTGGTCAGTTGTCTTTCCTCCGCCCCGTGGCTTGTCTGAATCTGGTCCTAAACACACAGACACTGCAGGCACATTTCCTCTCCACTTATTTCTTTTCCAAAAACGTGTCTGCCCCAGAAACTGTTCGTCCCGCCGCGGCTCCCGCGGTTTGGACCCGGCGTCTGTCCTCAGGGCTCCCGCAGCCTCGTGTCTTTGTAAACTGGTATCACAGCCTCGCTCGGCGCCATCCGATGTGCTAGCCGTTCGCAGTGGCTACTTTAAGAACTAAACTAATTAACTCTAAGTTAACACCCATTTGAGCAGCGCAGGTACAGAGGGCCGCCTCCTCAGAAGGTTCCACTGAGGCTCCATAGAAAAAGGCGGGGTTTGCGGAGTGGCCGCCAGGAGGCAGGGGTCAGGGTGACCCCTCCCTCGGCCACTAGGAGTGTGCAGAGTGCGGGCGGCTACGGGGCCAGGAGGGGTGGCGGGGGTCCCTGGCCAGCAGGGAGGGCGAGCAGGCGGCCGGGCTGCTCCGGGTGGTTTTGAAGGCGGAGCCACAGGATCTGCAGCCCGACGTGGCCTGGAGACCAGAGGTCGGGGAGACACGCGGGAGCACAGGGCCCCCTGCGGAGGACAGTGAAGGGCCCTGACCCCGGGGGCCCCCAGGGCAGCCGCGCGGGAGGCGCTGGGAAGAGGAGGAGGAGGAGGAGGAGGAGGAGGAGGTCTGGGGCTCAGGGCCGGGTCTGCGCGGAGGCACTAAGAGCGGCTGTCACCCGGCGGGCCCGCCCCCAGGGCCCGGGGGCCGTGCGGCGGGACGTCACGACTCGGGAGCTCCTGGCACCGAGTGGGTGGGGCGGGGGCGTCGGAGGCGCTGGGCGCCCGGCAGCCCCAGCAGGGGGGGCGGCGCGGGGCGACGGCGGCCGGGCCTGACGAGCTGCGCCCGCAGCTGCACCGCCCGCCGCAGGGCTTCCGCGTGGGCACCGTGTGGGAGAGCAGCGCCGAGGCCTACATCAAGAAGAGCTTCCCGGACATGTACGCGCACGTGCGGCGCCACAGCGCGCCCACCACGCCCCACGGCGTCTCCATGCTCACGTGAGGCCGCGGGGCCGGGGCCGAGCCTGCGGGGCGGGGCCTGCGGGCGGGGCCGAGCCTGCGGGGCGGGGCCTGGGTGGAGCCGAGCCTGTGGGCGGGGTCTGTGGGCGGGGCCGAGCCTGGGTGGAGCCGAGCCTGTGGGCGGGGCCGAGCCGGCGGGGCGGGGCCTGGCGGGGAGAAGCGGAGCGCCGAGGCGGGAGCGACGGGGAGGGCCATGGGGGGGCGGGGCGGGCCCCCTCACTGCCCGACGCCTGCAGGAGCGACCCCCCCAAGCTCAACGCCTTCATCATGGACAAATCGCTCCTAGACTACGAGGTCTCCATCGACGCCGACTGCAAACTACTGACCGTGGGCAAGCCTTTCGCCATGGAGGGTGAGGGGCCTCGGGGGCCGGGGGCCCTGGGGACGCCTCCTCGGGCTGCGTCCAGCCTGGCCCCAACCCCGCCCCTGGCCTCCCCCAGGCTACGGCATCGGACTCCCTCAGAACTCGCCGCTCACCTCCAACCTGTCGGAGTTCATCAGCCGCTACAAGTCCTCCGGATTCATCGACCTGCTGCACGACAAGTGGTACAAGATGGTGCCTTGTGGGAAGCGCGTCTTCGCCGTTACAGAGGTGCGACGGGGCCGGGGGCACGGGGGGCCGGGCGGGGGGCCCGCTCCGGTGTGTGCGCTATTATCGCACCGCAGCGTCGTCTCCACGAGCGTGGAGGCCTCGCCAGGGCGCCCCTTCCGCCCCCCGTGTCCCTCCGCAGACGCTGCAGGTGGGCATCTTCCACTTCTCGGGACTCTTCGTGCTGCTGTGCCTGGGGCTCGGCAGCGCCCTGCTCAGCTCCCTGGGGGAGCACGTCTTCTACCACCTGGTGCTTCCGCGCATGCGAAGGGGCCACAGGCTGCAGTACTGGCTGCACACGAGCCAGGTGAGGGGCGGGCGCGGCGGGCGGGGGGCACGGGCGGCCTCCCGTGACCCGGACAAAGCGCCTGTCTGGGCTCGTAGAGAATCCACCGTGCGCTCAACACAGAGCCTCCAGAAGGACAGGAGGAGCCAGAGCCAAGGTAAGGGGCCCCGAGGGCCAGCCCCCGCCCCCCGGCTTCGACACCCAGCCTCAAGCTGCCCACTTCTCGCCTCGACCCTCCCCGGAAGGCCAGGGTAGCCCCGCACCGACGGGGACCCTGACCCCACGGGCAGAGCGCGTGGGAAGGGGTGAGGATGGGCGCAGCCGCTTCCCCCCCACGTCCCCAGGGCTCCCGAGGAGCGGCGGCAGGACACGCCCACGGCCTGCGCAGGTGCGGGGGCCTGGACGCAGGTGCGCCGGGCCGTGGCGAGGGAGCGACGCGTGCGCTTCCTCCTGGAGCCCAGCGTGGCGGCCGCGGCGCCGGACTCGGAGGCCGGGCCCCCGGAAGGCCCCGTCTGGCTGCGCTCCAATGGCCGCCTGCCGGCTGCGCCGCCCTCGGGCGCCCCGGACCCCGGCGAGCTGGAGCAGCTGGAGCAGCGCATCCGGAGGGCGCGGGAGCGGCTGCGCCAGGCCCTGGCGCGCCGCGCGGAGCTCCTGGCCTGGCTGGGGGACGGCCCCGGGGATCGGCTCCAAGCCTGCGCCGAGGCACCTGAAGCACCTGAGGTCCCCGGCTGACTCGTCCCAGGGAACGCAGCCTCCCGGCCGCATTCAGGCGGCTCCACCCCACGGCCTGCAGATGCCACCCCAGCCCCCGTCAGAAGGAAGCACGGAGGTCCCTCCCTGCCCACACGCGCGTGCGCGCACACACACACACACACACACACGCTGTCAACAGTTTATTCTATATACAAACACAATTTTGTGCACTGCAATTAAATAGGATGGAATGAGCGCCTTTGAGCATTCCTCACCGAGTGACTGAGTTTGGCCACCAGCCCTGTCCCACTCCCACCCAAGCAAGGCTGGAACCCCGTGCCCGGCCACTGCCTGCCTTCCACGTTGGCGCCTGTATCCACATCCCCAAGCCCCAGGCGCCAGCTCTGCCCTCCTGGGACCCCAGCCCTGGTTCGCACACCCGGGATCAGGGGCCGTGGAAAAGGCACTGAGCATGATGGAGCACCAGCCGATCGGGCCGGGACAGCGAGGGTGGCCCCCATTGGCATTCACCTTAACAGAGACTTGCCCAGCTCTGCTACTGAGGGACAGCTCACTCTAGTCGTGTCACTAGCCCCTTCCAGAACCTTCCACAGAGCCCCACCCCACTCTCATCGGCCTGCCTCCACCTACCGACTGAGGGGGCCCCCCGCTAACATAGCAGGGCAGGCCTCCTTCAGGCCCCACCCTGGGGAAGAGGAGGCTACCTCTGGGCACACCTGATGGACCCTGACACCACCCGAGGCAGGCTGGGCAGTCCCAAGGGCCACCGGGACATCCTCCCAGGGCCCAAGGGCTCCCGCCAGGTCATGCCCAGTGGGCCTGCATGGCCAGGGACGGGGCGGTCAGCTGCCCAAGGCTCAGGAGCCGACCTCTGGGGGCGGGTCCACTGGGGGTGTGGGTGCAGGGCTGGGCTCACTCACCCCAACGGCTGGGGGCGCTGGGTCACGAGCCAGGGAATTGCTGGAGGGGGCACTGTCCTGTGGGACTCGGGGGAGCCCCCCGCCAGGGCTCAGCGGGCCAGTGGACCGCCGCTCCAGGAGGGAGGCACTCAAGCCAGACAAGAAGGAGGCGTCTGTGATCATGGCGGCCGTCTCTGCCATCCAGCCCAGGTCACCACTGGCCGCTGCCGCCACTGAGGCCGCCGCGGCCACCAGGGAGCTCGGGGCCTCAGGCACTGGCCCGGGGCCCCCACTAGCACCTGGCAAACCAGGGCTCAGGGAAGGGGCCTGGCCAGCAGGGTCAGGGGTAGAGGCCGGGGCCCCTCCATTGTTGTTCAGGTCGTCCGGAAGGGCTGTGGGGGCGGCGGGGCCCAGGGGCGGAGTCTGGAGCAGCAGCTCCTGGATTCGGATCTGCTGCAGGATGGCGGGCAGCTCGTAGTGGTGGAAGAAGTAGATCATGGAATGCTGCAGGGGTGGAGAGCGGGCTGAGTCCAGGCGGCGCCCCCAGGGCAGCAGAGCCCTGGAGTGAGGGGCGCGGGGAGCAGGGCGGAGGCCTCACCTGGATGAAGAGCCAGGACGTGACCAGGGCCAGGCTGCTGTACTGGCCGTTGAAGCGGTAGTGGTAGGCGTAGAATGCGAAGTGGTACAGGTAGAAGAACCTGGAGGGAAGGGAGTGAGGCGCTGCCCGCTGCCCCCCCCTCCCGGAGCCCCCCGGACCCTCTGTGCTCACCGCAGCCAGTGTCTCTTGCTGGTGTTGGTGTGGCAGCAAATAGCATCATACTGGTCAGCCAGCCAAACGATGAGGATGATGTAGAAGGCTGTGGTGGTGTCGTTGAAGAACTCGGACATGATGGCCTCCATCCCTGCGGGGAGGCCTGGCAGCTGGGATGGGCTGGGCGGGCAGGGGGCCCGGGCAAGTGGAGGAGGGCAGGTGCAAGTGGGGAGCCTGGGCCAGTGGAGGGGGGGGGTGCAGGCGGGGCCAGGAGGGCCGAGTCCTCACCTACGAGGGCCAGGATGACAGTAAGCAGGGGCGCGGCGGGGAAGGCGATGGCCATGTTCATCTCCAGCATCTGCAGCAGGTCCACTGCGGGCAGAGAGCGGCGGGCGGGCAGACCGGGTGAGGTGCCCAGTGGCAGGGTGGGGTGGGCAGGGGGCCACGGGGGCCTGGGGCTGAGCCCACCCCTCCCGCACGGCTGGCCCAGCAGGGAGACTCACCAATGAAGACAAAGATCTGGTGGTGGGAGTATCGGAGCAGCATGGAGACGCTGAGGGTCTGCAAGCGAGGCCGCGAGATGCCTCAGGGGGGCCGCCCCCATGCCCCCCACCCCGCTCGCCCCCCCCCCCCGCCCGCCGGCCCCCATGGGACTCACGAAGATGACCATGATGACGAAGGCAGCCAGGTAGGACGTGCGAGCCATCCACATGCTCACGAAACGGTAGTGCTCACCGGACACCACGTTCCGCAGGAAGCCTGCTTGGAGGCAGGGGGAGGCAGGGGGAGGCCGGGGGAGGCCGTGAGCACCTGCGCAGCCACCGCCCGCGCCCAGCCCCCACCCGGCGCCGGAGCCCGCGAACCCTTGTTCTCCTCGTTCTCGGCCAGGCCTTTGACGCTGGACATGAGGATGTCGTCGTAGCCCAGGAACTCGGCCAACAGCAGGCGGCTGAAGCGGTCCCCGAAGCACTGGTCTCGCGAGGGGTCTGGGGAGCGGGGGGAGACACAGGACGGGTGCGGTCTGGCCAGGGCCCCTACCCGGGCAGCACCGTGACCCTCCCGCTCCCGGATGCCGTGGAGGGAGGCAGCTTCCTGCAGCCGGAGGGAGGAGACGGCCCCAGCACTGTCCCAGAGCCCCTGTGCCTCGCCCCAGGGACACTCACCCAGGGTGACCACCATGACGGGGATGCTGAGGCGCTGTCGCGTGGCCTGGGACAGCCGCAGGAAGCCGTACTCCAGCGAGTACTCCACGACATACTCGTCCTGCGGCCATGCTGCGGCGACAAGCCTGGTGAGCCTCGGGGCCCTGCCTCTGGGGGGGAGGGGGAGCGAGGGGGAGGGGCAGGGCCCACCCGAGGCTCAGGGGGAGGGGTCATCAGGCAGAACTGCTCGCAGCACACATGCCCCATGGGGCCTTCAGGGCGCCCGGAGGAGTCCCACGTGCTGCCGACAGAGGGGGACACTGCAGCTCAGAGGGGCCGCGCTCCGGGCAGGGGTGTGGCCCCAGATGGTGACCCACCGTTCCGCAGCCCCGAGCACACCTCAGCAGCCCAAGCAACATGTACTTCTTTTAAGATTTTATTTTTAATCCTCTCTACACCCAGTGTGGGGCTTGAACTCACAACCCTGAGATCAAGAGTTGTACGTCCCCTGGACCGAGCTGGCTGGGTGTCCTGGGCACCTACCTTTCGAGGGTGTCTCCGGGAAGGGGAACTCCTGGCTGTCATTCAGGGCCTCCGTACCGCCCGGTGGCTTCAACACCTTGGGCTCAATGTCCAACTCGAACTGTGGGATGCCAGGACAGGGCGTCAGCGGCCCGGCCCAGGGGCCCCTCTCCCCTGCGGACTGACAGGAAGCGGACTCCACCCCCGGCTGCGGTGACCGCCAGCCTGTGCCCAAGGACCCCAACACAAAGCCCCCCCGAGCGGCCGTCTCCAGGTGAGGGTGTACCCTGCAGCTGCGGACGGGCAGGATAGGCAGGGAGGGGGCTGCCGGGCAAGGCGGGCACCGCTGCCCCGCCTGCACCGCCCCTCACATGTGGGGCTCTGGCCGCTAGCTGCCCGAGCGCGTCCCTCCCTCCCAGCTTGGGCCCCACACCCCCACCTGACCCCTGCGGGCGCCCCGGGCCCCTGCACGTCTCCAGTGACTGGGCGCTCGCCACCCCACAGACGGCCAGGGCCCGCCGCGGGCTCTAGGCCCACCCTTTCCGGGGGCTCCTTCTCTGCTGTGCCTGCCCTCGGTGCCCCCAGAACCGGGCCAATCCTTTCCACGTAAAGGCCGGGGCAGGGCCCGGGGCCCCCAGCGCAGCCCCCCCCGCAGCTCACCTTGACGGAGGCGTTCCCGAACACCCCCACAGCCAGCTCCTCCTCCTCCTCCTCCGGCTCCAGGCTACCCGGCTCCGCCGCCAGGCCCGCGAAGCTGCCGCGGCGGCCGCCGTCACAGAACTGCAGGAAGACGGGCGCGCGGCTCGAGTTGTGCTGCACCTCCACGCGCAGGACGCCCTCCCGGGGCCACCTGTCCCGCACGTGCTCCAGGCAGTTGATGGGCGAGCGGGAGAAGACGATGTGGATGTAGGCCAGGACGAAGAGCACGAACAGGGCCTGCGGGCGGGCAGCGGTCAGTGCGGGGCCCCGGGGGCAGGGACGCCCCCTCCGGGTCCTAGAGGACCCTCCCCTGGGGACAGGGCCCACAGCGACTCCGCCGCCCTGGCCTGAGGCGCCCTCCGCAACCCTCCTGGGAGGGCAGGGCCAGCCTGCGGTGCCTGAGGCAGCTTCCCCGTCCGTCTGTGAAATGGGGCCGGCCTGGCTCTTCCCCAGGGCGCTCTTGCCCCTGGAGGACGCCGGGCAGCGTCGGGACATCTAAGGCTGTCACGACCAGGGCGCTGCCGGCATGGACGGGAGGGGTAAGGACGCTGCGCCGCCCCCGCAGCGCCCAGGACGGCCCCCACCGGAGAACGGCCCACCCCCCAACACTCCACCAGCGGCACCTTTCGCCTGGCTCGAAGGAGCATCACGAGGGCCACGGCCCTCCCTGTCTGACAGTCACGTGTGTCACGGGGCCTCTGGCCAAGCATCCACCCCCGGACTGGGCGCTGGGTCTGGGGCTGCACCCCCACGCACCCCCACTGCCCCAGCCCCTGGGGAAAGGCTCCAGCTGGCCTGATGGGACACCCGTCGCTGTTCTGGGAAAAGTGGGCGTCTGGGAGCCGGCGAACCCGGGCGCTGCTCCGCCAAAGATGAGGGCGTGTGCTCAGATGGGACAGCGCAGCCTTCACCACGCCCACCGCCCAGGGCCACAGGCCACCAGGACCCTGTCCCTCCCACGTCCTGCCAGTGCCAGTGTGGGCCACCTGACCTCCCCGCGGGGCCGGCCCTGTGGACGTGCAGTGGAGCTCGCACTCCCGTCCCAGCCCCCAACCTGAGGGGCACTCAGCGCCGGGGACAGGAGGAGCTCGGTGTCACCGGACGCTGGGAGCTGCCCAGACTCCAGGTGTCCAGGACCCACCCAGTACCCCCTCCCCAGCGTCGTGTTTGGAGACTGCCAAGCTGGACAAAGGAGGTTTGGGGCCCAAAGCAGAGGCAGGGTGACCCGGAGAGCTGTCCTCTGTGCTAAGGTCATGACCCCATTTTCCAGGCCCACGTGTCGGGCACACTGTCCGCCGTGGGCCAGGAGAGGTGGAGGGAATGCAGCGGAAGGAGAGGCTAGCTTTCAAGGAAAAGGGACAGTCCTGCCAAGGGGGGGCATGTGAATTGAGGGGGGCGATCCCACTGAGTGCCCCCCAAGTCCCCAGTGTGACCCTAGTGCCCCTTCTAGTACTCCTCAAGGGGGTCTCCCCAGCATCACCTCCCTCCCGACCTGAGGCCCCAAGTCTGTTGCCCTAACGGGGCGGCAGGCCCCTGGAGGCCGGGCCAGGAATCCCCTCCTCTGCCTGCTGAGGCCTGCCCTGATCTGGGCCTCATTCTCCCCACCAGGAACACGGCACACGCGGCTTCGGCGCCTCCAAAGACCCAGCACAGCCAGCCCTGCCCGGGCACCCGCAGCCCGTCTCTGCCACTCCACGTGACCCCGTGCAGCCACCCCTGGCCACAATGCCCTCGCACATGCTTCTCTGGCTGTGTCCCAAGGCCTGCATGTGCCTGATGCCACACAGACCGTGCCCAGCCACCGCTGCCCCCCACGCCCGGGCCTGTCCTCCCTCCTGCTCTGCCCTCTCACTGCTGGGGCCCAGGACGGGGCAGGAGGCGAGGCGGCACAGAGGTGTCCCGACGCTCCCTGTCACAGCAAGGGGCCTGGGGACGCTCCACACACTATCGCATGTGACAATGACCCCGAGGGTCAGCTCCATTCTTCAGAGCACCGAATGCCAGTGCCCCTCACCCTGCACGGTCAGGCTGCCTAGGGTTCAGAGACAAGCTGGGGCACCTAGTGCCCAGCGCTTCCGGGACCTGGAGGTCCTGGTCTGGCCTCGATCCCAGGAAAAGCAGCAGAGGTGGAGGCCAAGGCAGCCAGACTGCGGGCCCGGCCACTGCCTCTCGCCCCCCAGAGGCTGGCCCAGTGGGGAACCGAGCGGGCTGGGCTGCTTGGTGGCCGGGCAACTCGGGAAGAGGCAGCCCTGAGGAAGTGACAGGGACCTGGAGCTCTGCAGCCGGCCTGCCGGAAGCTGGACAGGCAGGAAGCAAACACTCGGAGCTTTCTGGAACTTGCAGCAGCCTCACAGACAAGCAGATGAGGGGGGTTGGGCAGATTCGTGAGGTCCAGGGGGGGCCTCCAGGCTCTAGCCCACAGATCACTCGGCTGGTGGCACGACCCCAGCCGGGAGGCCCCCGGGACACCTGACCGCCTGCACCAGGGACACGTGTTGGCCAGGCTGACCTGCTCCCAAGTCAGGCAGCAGCGGGACAGAACTGGGGCGCACAGGACTTGCTCCTGGAGGCTGAGCGCCAACCGACCACGTAGGGCAGACACTGCCTCCCCACCACAGGGAAATCGCGTGCGCGCATGCTCAGAAGCCCAGTAAAGGCGCCCCGATTCAGGAATCCTCCGCAGGGGCTGTGGGAGGGAAGAGCGGGAAGGCCAGCGCCACGTGGCTCTAGGCAGTCTCCCGCAGACAAGGGATTGGGGAGCTCTGAGGGGGACTCCCCGAGACACTGGCAGGCCAGAACCAGCACCCGGGTCTGTTGGCTGGCTATGACGCCACTCCTCCCACCAAACCCCAAGGAGCTCCTGACCCACCTGGCCTGGCCTGCACCCCAAGACCCTCGAATGCCAGCACCAGCACCCTCTCTGCAGACGAGGAACCCAAAACTCACTTGGGGGTGCTAGCCTCCCCGGCCCCAGTGTGGCAGCATGCTGATGGGAAACGAAATGGCCGTCTGCCCAACCGGGAGCCCCACTCTGCTCAGGAACCCGGAACCTTCTCTGAAGGGCTGCAGCTGTCACTGGAGTGAGAGCCCGTCTTAGAAGGACCTAGGCCAGCAACAGTCCCCGCTGAGCTGTGCTCACTGCTGAAACCTCTGTGCCACCGGCGGGAAGATGGGAAGGGGGTTCACACATGGCCCCTAAACAGGGGGGTTAGGTTTGACACTAACCCCTGCGAGGTGTCCTCACTACATTCCCCAGAGAGGCTGTGAGGGAGATGGAAATGGAAGTGGCTTCCAGTGTGGGAAGATGGGCATGGGGTGTGTCCTGTCCTAGAAAGAGGGGCGGACAGGGAGGCCCAAGACTGGGGTTTGGTCAGGGCCAGGCCAGGGCTGGGGTGCAGCCTGGACAGGGGTGCCAGTGAGTTTGCCGAGTCCGGATCAGGAGTCGGGAACAGGGACTGCTAATGGGGTGAGACTCCGACTTCCCCAGATATTAGTCTCACGGGCACGCGGGCTGGGATCCCGAGATTCAGGGGTCCGGAGGAGAGGGGTTCGCCGCCCCGCTGGGGTCGCGGTCAGAGGTGGCAGAGCTGGGTGGAGGGTTGGGCCGCTAGGGTCAAGGGTCAGGAGTCGGGGCCTCGGTCACCTTGAGCAGCACGAAGAACTCGAAGAGACGGCGGAAGGCGGGCGGGAAGAGCCGCGAGTAGGTGACAGCCATCTTGAAGAAGAGCGCGTGGAAAAGCCGGTCGCGCACGTTGATGAGAGGATTGGGGTTGAGGTTGGGGGTGCGAGGCCCGCGCGCAGGGACCGGACCGCCGCCGCCATTGGGCCCGGGCCCCGGGGCCCCGGGCGCCGCGTGCTCCGACATGCCGCCCAGCGTCGCGCCCTAACGGCCCGCGGGTCCCCGAGGGCGCCACCCGGCCGCCATCGGCCGCCCTCACCGCGGCCGCGCTGCTCACCGACGCTCGGCCGCTGCCGCCGCCGCCGCCATCTTCCGCCTCCGCGGCCTGCTGACGCCAGCGAGAAGCCGCGCCGGCAAGAGCGGCTTCCCTGCGCTCGCGGGGAACGCTGGGATGCCGGCGGCCTGTCCACTGCCGCCCCGCCCTCCCTCCTGGCCGCCGGGCCCGGAGCCCCAGGGGCGGGGTTGCGATAGGCCCAGGTGTTTTGCATATTATCCCCCACAAGCCTCCGCGGCTGCAAAGCAGAATTTGGGCGTTTAAGTTCGTCAAAATCTGAGAGGTTTAGCGTGATTATAGGCACTCAAAGCAGGCACGATGATAGAAGATGTTAATTTGCAGGACTCTAGGAAAATCCTGTTCGATGCAGGTCTCTCAAGTCCACCTAAGTGTAAAATGTTTCAGTTTTTGTCCTTTAAATAGCTGTGCCCGGCACCTCCGTGCCGTGCTCGCTTCGGCAGCACATATACTAAAATTGGAACGATACAGAGAAGATTAGCATGGCCCCTGCGCAAGGATGACACGCAAATTCGTGAAGCGTTCCATATTTTGGTGCGGAGGTGAGCGACCCTGCGGACGCGGCCGGGGGACCCGGCTTAGGGTGAGCTGCGCTCCGCTCGCCGGTACTTCCCGCCCCGGACGGCTGCGGCCCTTCTGGGAACTGGGCCGCTCGGGCAGAGCGCGCCCAGGGGTGCCCCGGCGGTGCCCGGGAGACGGGCGGACAGATGGCGCCGAGCTCCGCCGTGGCCGGGAGGCTGGGATCCTTTGCCTCCTGTTTCGCAGAGGGCTTGGGGTACGGCTCAATAAGTGCACACCCTCGGCATTATTGGATCACCCCCAAATCATCTGTCACTTGCAGAGAGAGGGAAAAAGTTCTTTCCCAACGGAGAGGGGGGCAGGCGTCCCTTTGCCCTGGAGATGCCCCGCAGAGGTGCAAGCCCGCTGGGCTCCTGAGCAAGTGAAATGTAGCAAATTGTCTTTATTGCTGTAACTTACATTGAAATGGTCCCATGCGGCTGCCGCACAGTCTAGAGCTTACTGCCGTGTTCTAGAAACTCAGGGCCCACCAAAGCAAGTGAAACGTTACCGAGCATCCACACTGTATGGCCCGCTGCTGGACAGCCGCCGGCGTCCCTGGAAAGCCACTGTCGTGAAAACAAAACACACAAAACACCCCCAAAACGGCCGGGGAGAGTTCGAGGTCTAAACCCAAGGAGGTAAAAGGACCAAACACCACACCCGCGCTTCTGGGGACAGCCGGGAGGTTAGACGACGGGCTGGCCCTCCCGGGCGCCGTGGGCCAGCCGGCGGCCTGGGGCCGGAGGCTGGGCTGGGCGGGTTGGCACTTAAATGGGGGCGCAGGGAGGAGGCTCCCGAGGAGCTGACCCTCGAGTGGACGGAGGGCAGTGAACGAGGTGACCAGGGCACCAGCAAGGGCACGGCGAGGGCCAGGCCCTGAGGCAGGACTGGCGCACAGGGAGAAGGCGTGCCTGGTGGTGGGTGCAGTCCTGGGGGACATCTTGGCTGAGGGTGCAGCAGGCGCCACGGAGGGGTTTGAGCAAGGGAGGCTCCTGACCTGAGTTAACAGCTTCTCCTGTTCCCTCCTTCCAGACGCTGTTGTTACAGTTACTATTTTGTGAAAGTACGTTCTGTCCGCGTCCACCTGGCGGGACCAGCACAAGCAACAGGGCTGAGATCATGGTTTCCAGAGAGCAGGTGCCCGAAGCCCCCACACAGGGACCCAACTTGGGGTCCTGCCCTGACCCCCCTGCGGTCCCACCCAGAGAGCTCAGACGCTGAGGGGACGGGGTCGCCAAGGCTGGGGGGAAAGAGCCCGGGGCCCCTGCAGCACCTGCAGCCTCTGTGCCCGGCCCCCGAGACCCCAGGGCCCAGCCCCCAGCCCGGGCCTGAGGGAGCCCCTGAAGCCCCAGGTCCTCGAGCTGTGGCCCTCTTTCCCACAAGCGTCATTGAGGTCCCACCACAGAGGACCTGGAGACCCCTGCTCCGTGAGCCCTGCATCGTCCCCAGGGCTCAGTCCCGGGTACTGAGTGCCAGGGAGTCAAGGGCAGAGGGTGGCTGCAGGGGCCCCAGACCTCCTTGCCAGGTTCCCAGCAGATGCCACCATTCCTAAGATAGAGACGCGCGTTCACTCAACAACCCTTACTGCTCAGGGTGCATCGCACACATTAACCTGTTTCACGTGGACAGAAACCTGAGGGCAGTAAGGAGCGTTCCAGATGGGGAGACTGACGCATGGAATGGCGAAGTGTAATTGCTGCATAAAATCACGCAGCCAAGGAGGAGTCTGGATTTGAACCAGGCTCCAGGCAGGGGCGCTGAGGCCAAAGAATTACACGGAATTATGTAGTTCCATAAATCTGAGGTCCTCCAGCTGAGCTTCAAAAAGTATGATATTCTGAGCTTCCAGACCCAGGAGTTTGAATTTTGGGATGTCTAAGTCTGGATTTCTTGGGTTCGGGGAGGTTGGGTGTCTAGCACCCAGATCAGCAAACTATGTTCTGTAAAAGCCCAAAAGCCAATATTCTCAGCCTTGCACTCAGCTCACCACCTAACACAGAGGCGGGTGTAAGTGAGTGGGCACAGCTGGGCACCAACAGAACTTTGTCCAGACACTGACAGCTTAATATTATATGATCTCCACGTGTTGCAGAACAGTATTCCTTTCAACCAGGTAAAGATGTTGGGGCGGGAGGGCGCCTGGGGGGCTCAGTCTGTTAAGCGACCGACTTCAGCTCAGGTCATGATCTCACGGCTCATGAGTTCAAGTCCCTCATCAGGACCTGTGCTGACAGCTCAGAGCCTGGAGCTGCTTCGGATTCTGTGTCTCCCTCTCTCTCTGACCCTCCCCTGCTCACACTGTCTCTCTCTCTCTCTCTCAGAAATAAATAAACATTTAAAAACTGATGCTTAAAGTCGCCCGGGTGGCTCAGTCAGTTAAGCATCCGTCTTTGGCTCAGGTCATCATCTCACGGTTTGTGGGTTCGAGCCCCGTGTCGGGCTCTGTGCTGACAGCTCAGAGCCTGGAGCTGCTTCGGATTCTGTGTCTCCCTCTCTCTCTGACCCTCCCCTGCTCACGCTGTCTCTCTCTCTCTCAGAAACAAATAAAACATTTATTTATTTATTTTTATATAGTTTATTTATTTTTGAGACAGAGACAGAGCATGAGCGGGGGAGGGGCAGAGAGAGAGGGAGACACAGAATCAGAAACAGGCTCCAGGCTCTGAGCTGTCAGCACAGAGCCCAATGTGGGGCTCGAACCCACGACCTGTGAGATCTGACCTGAGCCGAAGTCAGACGCTCAACCGACTGAGCCATCCAGGTGACCCATAAATAAAACATTTAAATAAATAAATAAATAAATAAATAAATAAATAAATAAATTTTTTTAAAAATGATGTTTAAGAAATGTTAGAAAACGTTATCTCAAGGGCCAGACCAAAAACATAAATACCTAAACGGGGGATCTGGATCTGACCCACGGGGCCAGAATGCGCCAGCCAATAGAAATACAAGACGGATCAGACATGTGGTTTTAAATGTTAAGCCATGTTAAAAGAGCTAAAAGAGAACGGCTTTAGTGATGCGTTTCACACAATTCATTACCTTGAAAATATTAACATTTCAATGCACAGCATGTATGAAAAATTTCTGAGACGTTAACTTGCACCCTGCAAGCCCGGGGATGCTCCCCACACAGCACACCTCGCCCGCGACGCTGGCATCTCTTTGGAAACGCGAGCAGCTGGGCTGTGCAAAGCTTCCACCAAGCAGAACACGTACATCCCCAAGTTGTTTCAAATGTGTTCAGGTGTTTTCCAAAAACTGAACTTACTTTTTTTTTTAGTTTCTTTTTTTTTTTTTTTTATGTCTTTATTTTATTTTGAGAGAGAGACAGCGTGAGCAGGGGAGGATCAGAGAGAGAGGGAGACACAGAATCCGAAGCAGCTCCAGGCTCTCAGCTGCCAGCACAGAGCCCGACGTGGGGCTTGAACCCACGAAGCGTGAGATCATGACCTGAGCCAAAGTCGGAGCGCCCGGGTGCCCTTTAATTTACTTTTAAGTCAGGATGAAGGAAAATCTAAGAGGAGGCCTCTGGTCCCTGGGTGCCCGGGGCCGCGCCGCGAGCGCTCACCTGCCCTGAGCGCTTGCAGAGGGGGGCCCAGGGTGGGCCATCCACGTGCCTGTCTCAGAGCCTCCCGGCGCGGGGTGCTGTCCCCAAAGTCACCGGTGGCGCGTGGACAAGCACGGGGGCGGGGGTGGGAGCCCGCGCCGGCCCAGCCGCTGCGGGGACGGCGTCTCCGGGGAGCCGGCACCGCCTCGCGAAGCAGTGGCTGGGGAGCATTCGGGGAATGAACCGCTGCGTGGACGGCGAAGGAGTGAGCTGCCGAGTAAGTGAATTCATTTACTCTGTCATTTACGAATTCATTGTTTTATCGGGCAAGCACACACCACCTGCTGAGCGCCGCCCCAGCCCACCCCCAGGACGTCTCTGGACCGCGAGTCTCTGTTCCACTCCCTCCCCGTTCTCGGTCATTCCTCAGCGGGAAATGCAAAGCCCCCTTTCCTCCCACCCCCTGCCCCAGCCCTTGTGACGGAGCTCCGCGTGCTTTCAAGCACTGACGGGCCTTCCTCTTGGACTGGAAAACTCCTACGCATCCATCAAAGCCCCAGCTGCAATGGCCCCTCCGCTGAGGAGCCCGCCCTGGTTCCCTTGTCCACCACCCAGCTATGGGGGTCGCAGGACGCGCGGCTGGACCGGGGGGCGCCTCGTGTGACACCCAGGGGTCTCCGTTCGTGCTCCGAGCGGCCAGAGTCCCACCCAACAACCCCCCTTCCCCATCCCCGGGCAGCAGGGTACATTTAGATGCAGAGGGGGTGGCGGCGCCGCCTGGGGCCCTCCGGCAGGGAGGGGCGGGGGGCCTCGTCTCGGCCGTCCGGAGCCCCGGACCCGGGGACGGGGCGCTCCGCCGGGGCGGGGGGCGGGCGCGGCCGGGGGCGCAGGACGTCCGGGCGCAGGAATCCGGCGCGGCGCGGCCTTATAAGGACAAGAGCGCCGGGGGCCAATCAGCGGCGGGGGCGTGGCCCCGGCCCCCCGCGTCCCCCGCCCCCGCCCCGGCCCGGCCCGTCCCGCCCCGGCCCGGCCCGGCCCGCCAGCCATGAGCTCCACGCAGTTCAACAAGGGGCCCTCGTACGGGCTCTCGGCTGAGGTCAAGAACCGGGTGAGTGAGGGGCGCCCCCCGCGCCCGCCGGGCTCCCCAGCCTGCGGCGGGCAGTGAGCGCTGGGACCCGGGACGACCCCGGCCCTCCCGCCCCCTCACGCCGGGGTCCTGGGGGCGCGCTCCCCGAGCCGCCCCCACCCAAGTCGGGGGGGGTCCGGCATCCCTCCCCGGCACCCAGGAGCGCGTGGGCCTCACCCCTGTCCCCGGGGCCCCCCCACCTGGACGCCTCCCTCCCTCCCAGCCCCACGCCCTTCTCGCGCGTCCAGGCCCGAGAATGCCCTGAAGGGACCCCGGCAGCCCCCTCCCCAGTGTCTGGCCGCACGTCCGTCCGCGGTTGTGTTGAAAAGGTGCCCCCCCCCCCCGGAATTTCCGCACCTCTGACACCTGGGGGGGGGGGGGGGGGGGGGGGCCGCCAAGGGCAAGCGGGAAGCGGGGGGGGGGGGCCGCCCCTGCCCGGCTGCTCCTCCGTAAGTTCCCTTTGTCCCCTTCTGACCAAGTGAGGTGACGGCTCGGGCGCCTGCGGGACGCGGGGGTCCCCGGGGTGCAGCCCTAAGTAGAGTGCGTGTGTTTCGTGACCTCGAATCCCGATGGGGCGGGGGAGACACTGTCTGAGACACGGGACGTGCGGCTCAGAGACTGGCACACACTTCTGGAGGGTCACACAGCGGGGTCCAGCCTAGGGAGGGGGCGTAGCGGGTGACCCCGGCCAGGGAGACGGCCCTTCCAGCCCGAGGGGAGTTTGTCCCGCCCGCCGGGCCCCTGGGAATGTGGCCCCGCAGCCAGCAGTCCCGGGAGCCTGCCTGGCGTGGGGGGGGGCACAGGGCAGGAGGGGGCGCGCGGCCTCCCCGAGCTCCCAGGACCCGCCTCGGCCCCTGGGACAGGGGGCGCCTTCCTGAGACACTGTTCTCCTCTCCAGCAATAACTGAATGGGGTGACGGTCTACTCAGCGCCGGTGCGGGAGCCGCCCGCCCAGCGCCGAGGGGGGTTAAGAGCTGGGTTTGTCCCCGGGGCTCAGAGGTGTCACACGAGCCGCCCAGAGCCACACACAGACTCCAACCAAGACCTGCTGCATCCAGCGCCTGCCGGCAGGAGGTCCGGGGGGGGGGCAGCACCCCCTGCCCCTCCCCCGCGGCGGCAGGAAGTGGGCGCGGGCGTGGCACCCCAGCCGGTGTGCAGGCAGTTTCCGCAGCGGCGGATGCCGACGGATGAGGCAGGTTGAGACCTGCTGTGTCTGGGATGAGGTCAGAAGGCTCCTGGTGACCAGCCCTCAGTCTGCAGGTCTGGAGAATGGGCAAGGCGATGGCCAGCCAGGGTCACTGGGGCCGCACCAGAACTGGGAAACAGCTTCCTGCGGCTTCAAGCCCACACCCTGTCCAGTTTACCAGCTCCTTAAGAGGAGGTTAAGACCTCTGGAGACCTCTGCCTGGCCCCCCGTGCCTCAGTTTACCCGTGGCTGGATGGGTGGCGGGCTGATGCCCAGCGTGTCTCTGAGCAGTCACTCGATTGCCAGCCGGCTGGGGGGTCTAGACCTCTGGGAACAGCTGGTCCCGATTTAGCAGGGAGGCAGCGTCTGCATTCCTGGCAGTTTGCGGTGAGGAGGAATGTGCTGAAGGCCGCTGGACGGGGAGGAGGGCGGCGGCAGGCGGGCCGGCCGGCGCCTCTGCCCAGAACCCCGGCCCCCAGGAGCCACCAGGGGCCCGGCCCGGCCGGGCAGCCACGCGGGGTGTCCAGACCAGCTGGCCTGTCTCAGCCTCAGCTTCTCGTTCGTCAGGGCAGGGCCGCGGGGCTGTGGGAACCTGGTCAGCGGAGCCCCGACCCTGCGTCGTGGGGCTTCCATGCAGGAACCAAGAAGTGGGGCCCGGTTCAGGAGGCCCTTATGCAAACAGTCCCACACACAGCTGGGGAAACTGAGGCACAGGGCGAGAACTGTGTCCGTGCTCCTAAGGGAGTCGGGAGCAGAGCTGAGAGTGGAAGCCGGGTCCGCAGAGGGCAGCTGTGCCGCCCTGGTGCCCCGGGAGGGCTGGGGGCAGGAAGGGTGAGCGTCCGGGGAAGGGATCTGTGCGGCACGAGTGTGCAGGCGTCCTGAGCCGGAAGCCCACTCAACTGGACAGTCGGCCACGGAATGGGGGTGGGACTTGGCTTCCTTCCCCCCGCCTCCGGGGGCCGCCCGTGCCCGCCTGCCCGCTGGCCTGGTCCCCTGACCGGCTCTGGCTGCTCTGGGCCCAGCGTTCTGGCTTGGCCTTGGGTGCCCCAGATGCCGTCATGGGAAACGTGTGTGTGTGCGCGTGCGCTTGTGGGTGACAGGTGTGCACTGATGGGGACCATGAGCGTTTTTGTCCAGCTACCCAGAGGACTGTGGAGCCAGCACTGAGCTGGGGGAGAGAGTTTGAGGGGTGGATCGTAAACGAGGACGTAGACTGTATAAAGATAAAAGCGGGGAGGAAAATGAGGCAGAGTGGCGGCGAGGACGTGAGGAGGGCTTTCGCAGCCAGGGGAGTCAGGGAAGCCTTCCCCAAGGAGGTAACCTTTAATCTGGATTGGTGACTGGATTGAAGGACGGGACCCAGCCATGCAAACATCTGAGTCAAAAGTGACAGCTGTGCAAAGGCCCTGCGGCAGTAACTGGTATGGTCATTTCAAGGAGCAGAGAAAGCTTTGGTGGTTCCTCAGTAAGTTCAACACAGGGTTACCACGTGACCCAGCAATTTCACTCCTACGTATACACTCAAGAGAATTGTACGTGGATATTCACAGTAGCCAAAGGTTGAAACAACCCAAATGCCCATCTGCGGTGGATAAATACGTGTCCATCCACACACTGGAAAATTACTTGGCCATAAATAGGAGCGAGGCGCCCACACCGCCGCCCCGCGGACGGACCCCAAACACACGACGCTCAGGGAGGGAACCAGACACGAGAGGCCACGCGGGTGTGAGTCCACATGCGTGACACGTCCAGAACAGGCTCCTCCACGGGCGGGAAGGGGCTTGTGGGGGCGGGGGGCTGGTGGAGTAGGTGATGGCTGATGGGGATCAGGTTTCCTTTGGAGAGATGGAATGTTCTGGAATTAGACTGCAGTGACAGTTGCACAATATTGTGAGTGTACTAAAAACTACCCAGTTCACGTTTTCTTTTTGAGAGCTGGCAGGGGGCAGGCAGGCTTCACGCTCCGTGCGGAGCCTGATTCAGGGCTTGATCTCACGGCCCCGGATCATGACCTGAGCTGAAATCAAGAGACAGACGTTCACCTGAGCCACCCAGGCGGCCCTGAGCCGTCCACTTTAAAACAGTTAAGGGGCGCCTGGTGGCTCAGTCTGTAAGAGGCCGACTTAGGCTCAGCTCATGACCTCACGGTTCGTGGGTTCGAGCCCCGTGTCGAGCTCTGTGCTGACAGCTCAGAGCCTGGAGCCTGCTTCCGATTCTGTCTCCCTCGCTCTCTGCCCCTCCCCTGCTCACGCTGTCTCTCTCTCTCTCTCTCTCTCTCTCCTAGAAATAAATAAAAACATTAAAAAAAACAAAAATAAATAAGCATAGAGAGGTGGGTTGATAGACAGATACAACAGAGAAGGGCAGTTTCCCTAGTGCAGGGAGACCAAGGGGGAGAGGGCGTGGGGGCGGGTCCTGGAAGGAGCCCAGAGCAGGTGTTTGTCAGCGAGATGGGAGCGGGGTCCCCGCACTGCCTCCGCCACGGACCGACCGGACTGACCGCACCCCTGTCTTCTGCTCACCCAGCTCCTGTCCAAGTATGACCCCCAGAAGGAGGCTGAGCTCCGTAGCTGGATTGAGGGGCTCACCGGCCTCTCTGTCGGGCCTGACTTCCAGAAGGGCCTCAAAGACGGCGTTATCTTGTGCACGTGAGTGCCCTGTGGGCAGGTGCTGGTCACCCTGAGCGTGGGAGCCATGAGGTCACGGGCAGCGGGAAGCGGCTGCCCTTCCCCATTCCAGGTCTCGCTTGTCTCTCGCTTTCTCATGTCGCCGCTTAGTGGGTGCTTTCTGGGGACCAGTGTCCTCCCCTCACACCCGTGCGCGGGTGGGGGCCTCTGCGTCCCCGGGGGCCTCCCTCCGCTGCATCCCTCGGCGTGGAAGTCCCCAGACTCACCCCCACGACAGTGGTCCCCAGCCTCGGGCCCTCTGCTCCCTTGCGGGTGAGGATTACATTGCAGAAGGGGAAACTGAGGCCTGGAGTGAGGTTGCTTGGGGAAGGCGTGAGTGTGGCCAACGTAGAATTGTTTCCTGGGTCCCTCCCTGCGCTAACGGAGGGTCCTGTCCCCTCCCCCCCAGGCTCATGAATAAGCTCCAGCCGGGCTCCGTGCCGAAGATCAACCGCTCCATGCAGAACTGGCATCAGGTGAGGCGCCCGTGGGCAGAACTGGGGGGTGGGGGGGCGGCAGGGGGCAGGGTCGCCTCATGCTCCTTCTGCCTCCGCCCAGCTGGAAAACCTCTCCAACTTCATCAAGGCCATGGTCAGCTACGGCATGAACCCTGTGGACCTGTTTGAGGCCAACGACCTGTTTGAGAGCGGGAACATGACGCAGGTGCAAGTGTCCCTCCTCGCCCTGGCCGGGAAGGTGAGGCCCCGAGGCGGCGCCGGCACTTCGGGGGGCGCCGCGGGGCGCGATGGATGAGATAGACACAGTCCGCCCCGTGGCGGGTTTGCGGTCTCCGGGGGGAAAGCAGACAGTGGACAAACCTTTCACTTAGAGAACTAAACACCAAGCTTCATATCTGAGTGCGGTTTGAGGGTCACGGCAAGGTTGGGAGGGGGGTGCTGAGATGTCTCAGGTGCCTCCTGGCCCCGCACGCATGGCGCCCTGTCGAGGAGGACTCCGCCCCGCGGGGACACTTGTCACAGTCCATGAAGCTCCATGGATGCGCCGTTGTCAGCCAGAGTCCGTCTCCAGATAGATTACACGGAAGTTACACGCTGTGGGAACAGCTGACCCAGGAGATCGGGCCGCCGTGCGGGGTCCAGCGACCAGGGTGGAGCGAGGGCAGGTGTCCGCGGGCTGGCGAGCTGCCCAGAGGGTCGGGAAGGAGGAGGTGACGGAGGGAGAGGGGCGAGGAGGTTTGGACGCCCCCCGAGTCCTTATCCTGAGCCGCCAGACCGCTGGTGCTGAAGCGCTGGGGGTCCGGGGGCGGCAGGAGCGGGTTGGAGCGGGGTCCCCGTGCCTCCCCCGGAGTTGCACAGTCTGGGCCCGGTGCGAGGGTCTCCGCTGCCCCCGTTGATGCTCCCAGCACCCCTCCCCTGCAGGCCAAGACAAAGGGGCTGCAGAGCGGCGTGGACATCGGCGTCAAATACTCAGAGAAGCAGGAACGCAACTTCGATGACGCCACCATGAAGGCGGGCCACTGCGTCATTGGGCTCCAGGTGGGCTCGCGGGGTGGGGTGGGGGCTTCTCAGGTGACCCCAGGTCCCCTCAAGCTCAGGGCGGCGTCTAGAGGCCTGGGGGGCACCTGACCTCTGCCGCCGCCTCCCTGCAGATGGGCACGAACAAGTGCGCCAGCCAGTCGGGCATGACAGCTTACGGCACGAGAAGGCATCTGTACGACCCCAAAAACCACATCCTGCCACCCATGGACCACTCGACCATCAGCCTCCAGATGGGCACCAACAAGTGTGCCAGCCAGGTGGGGCTCCTCGCCACCCGGCCCCCACCCCCGCCCCACCTCCCTGCCTGCCCATGTGAGCCCCCCCACTGAGAATCCCACCCTGGAGCTCCCTCAGACCTCTGCCTCAGCTTGCTGTGTGTTCCTGGAGAGGTTGCTAGCCGGCTCTGGTCCTCATTCCCCCACCCTTCCTGTGACACCCCCCCCCACCAGCCGCACAGGATTGATTGCCCCGGGGCCCCACGCACTCTGACATCCACTGACTCTCGTTTTTCCTGCCTCGCTGCATGTGCCAGGGCGGTGGGCTTGGAAGTGTTGGGCTGGCAGACGCCTCGGCCCCAAACTGGGGAGCTTCTGGGCTGGAAGGGAGAGCCGGGTCCCGACAGCCCCGGTTCCCAGGGAGGGGAGATCCACTCAGCATAGTGCCCATCCTCACCAGCCTGCCACTCTCTCCTCCCTGTCCAGGTGGGCATGACGGCTCCCGGGACCCGGCGGCACATCTACGACACCAAGCTGGGGACGGACAAGTGTGACAATTCGTCCATGTCCCTGCAGATGGGCTACACTCAGGGTGCCAACCAGAGTGGCCAGGTGTTCGGCCTGGGCCGGCAGATCTACGATGCCAAGTACTGCCCGCAGGGCCCGGCGGCCGACGGGGCTGCGGGCGACGGGCCAGGCCCGGGGGAGGCCCCGGAATACGCCCCCTACCGCCAGGAGGAAGCGGGCCACTGAGGCCCAAGCGGGGCACCTCCACACATCACCCTGTCTGCTTTTTGGGTTTTTCTGTTTTCTCTTGTTTTTCTGCTTGCCTGCGCACTGCCCGCCGGGTGTCTGTGGGGAGGGGTGGAGCCACATGCAGGTACTGGCGGTGGGCAGGGCGCCTGCCAGAGTTTCCCAAAAGGCTTTGGGCTGACCTGGGAGGGGGAGGTGTTGGGGGAAGAAACCTGGGCAGGGAGGGACCTGCCCCAAATGGCTTCCGGTGGCCTCTCCCTCTCTTCCCTTTTCTTTGCCGATCAGTTTGCGGTTTCTGTCACCAGAGAAGCTTCGGGTAGTTTTCATGAAAGAAAAATAACTTTTTTGCAGGGGAGTGGGGGCGGGGGGGCACGGTGGAAGGGGTTGCCGGAAGGAAGCAGGTCCCCTGGGAGAGGGTCTTGTGTGGACCTGGGTCTCCTTAGCACTCTCAGCGCCCCCCCCCAGGCTCCCCCAGAGACCTGGTGGAGAAACTGAGGCTCAGGCAGGACACAAAGCCAGGCCCGCCCCCACCCTTCCCTACGTGTCCCCATTCCTCTGCCAAGTGCTGCACAGGGATCCCCGCCCCGAGGCCCCCCCGGGGGACTGGCCCCCATCCAGGAGCCCTGGGACCAAGAGATAATGTGAAATGTCAACTGTGGACCAAAGGCAATAAACATCTCTTTTTAGGAAGAAACTGGTGGTGGAAGTTGGAGTCCGCCGCGGCCTGGGGGGAGGGGTGTGGCCTGGGTCCGCGGGCGGGGGGCGCTGGGCCAGCTTCTGAGGAGGTCCTCACAGCTGACCGGGAAGAGCCGAGGCCCAGGGCGCAGGTGAGTGTGGGTTGAAAACCTGCTCTGCGGGTCAGGACCTGCGGAAGCCGGAAGAGGTAGGCCCACCTCCTGGTTAGAAACGTGAGGCCCTCAGCACCCCCCCCAAGCTCCACCCTCCAGCCCCCCGGGGCTTTGCTCTGGCCATTTGCTAGGGCGGGGCAAGCTCCTATTCGTCCCCAAAGCCCCAGCACCAAGCCCACCTGCCTTTTCTCAGGGGCTCTCCCAGTGCACCTCTGTGCCTTCAGAGCTGTGGGTCCATATACTTGCTTCGTCTTCACCACAATCTTGGGAAATCCACCCAGTTCTCTGCAAAGGGATCCGGAAATCTTCAAAATGCTGTGACCGTTATGACCCAGGACTCTAATTTCAGAATGCTGGGACCCCTCCCCCTTCTGCCATAGCTGGGCCCACTGTAGGGACCAAAAGAATGATTGTGGGGGGATGGACAAACGACCAATCGAACCCCCACTTTGTGGATGGACAAGTCGAGTCCTGGGGTCATGGAGCGAGTCTGGCTAGGGTCGCTCCCCCAGGATAGAGTGGGGAGAAAGCGACCTCCTACGATGGGGAGCCACTGCACTGCAGGCGGGTACACAATGTGGGGGGAGCCCGTGGTGGGGTGAGCAGGCAACCCAGGGCCCCAGGTGACGCAGCAAGAGGGGAGCGGCTCCTTTAAGAAACCCGGCTCTGCGCGGCCTCCTCCCAGGCGCGCCTGGATTGGGCGGGCCCGGCCCGCGAGTGGCAGGGGTGACAGCCAATAGTGGGGGCGGGGGCGGGGCCGGGCGCGGCTTCCCGGGCGCAGGTGGTGAACTACTGGGCGTAGGGCTCGCTGCGGGAGACCCCTCTTAAAGGGGCCGCGATCCCTGTGGGCGCTGGGAGGGCGGCCCGAGAGGACGGGAACGGTGAGAGGGTCTGGGAGAGGAAGGAGGGTGCCGGGTGCGGCTGGATGGGGGAGGCGGGTTCCCGGCGAGCGACGGCGATGGGGCACGGACGCCCCGGGCTGCGCTCGGGCATTCGGCCCACCTGAGCGGTGACTACACCTGCAGCCGCTCCCCGCGTCAGAACTCCGGCGGGCTCTCCGGCCCGCTCTACGACGGGGAAAACGGAGGCTCCCCCACCCCAGCTCCCGCCTGGTGTGAGCCCTCCGGGGGCTCGGGGCCCAGGTCCAGCCTGGGCTGTGGCCTGGGGCGACGCCCTGCCCCTCGGGCAGCGCAGTGGGCCGAGCCGAGCCCGGATCAGGAGCCGCCGGTTCCAGGGGCCCTCAGTGCCGTCCGCTCTCCGCACTCCTCCCCTGGGGCCGGGGGCTCTTCTCCACGATCAGTGATGCCGAGGGGTGGGTAGAGCCGGGCCCTGCGCCCTGCGGGGTCACTGCGGACCCTGCCGGGCTCTCGGGGGGCCTGGGTTGGCCCTTCTTCCCGCCAGGTGTGTAAAACGTCCAGCCCTTTGCCGCCATCGCTGGGGAAGCCTGGGGCCGGGGTGGGTGGTGGATCTTTCCCAGGGCGCGGGAAGGGGGGGGCCGGACCCGGAGGCCCCCAAGGGAGGTCAGGGTGGAGTCCTGACGAGTCAAGCCGAGGCCCCTCCCCCTCGATAATTAGTTGCCAGCCTCTTGGACCCCAGCCCTGCAGCAGCGACATCCCAGGCACCCAATCAGGTGCGTGGAGGGCTTCGGGCCGGGCTCCCATTGGCCCCCTCCGCCCCTCCAGGGACCGAAGGGCACTAATAAAGTGCCTGCTGTTTGGCTCCAGGCGGAGCTCCCGCGAGCCCGGCACCATGGGCTAGAGCAGCGAGGCCCAGAGACGGCCAGGGGTTGCCCGCCGCCGCAGAGCGCGCCCTCGCCCGGCCCTCCGCCCTGTGCCCTGTGCATTCCCGCCATGGCCTTCGGGACACAGCTAATGCTGCTGCTTTGGAAAAACGTCCTGTATCGCAGGAGGCAGCCGGTAATGCCAGGACTGATGGGCCAGGCCCGGGCGGCCCGGTGCCCATCAGGGTGCCCCACTCCCCCCCTTCTGCCCCTCCCCCAGATCCAGCTCTTGGTGGAGTTGCTGTGGCCTCTGTTTCTCTTCTTCATCCTAGTGGCCGTACGCCACTCCCACCCCCCGCTGGAGCAGCACGAATGTGAGCCCCCCAGGGACCAGGCTCTTTGCGTGGGGGGAGGGGCAGGCCCTGGGTCGCGCCAGAGAGCGCAGAGGGGGCTGCCGGATAAAAGTCTGAGTGAGCACTGTGTCCGGGAGGGTGTGGACGCGGCGGGGGTGCAGGCAAGGCTCCCCACGCCCCGCGTCCCCACAGGCCACTTCCCCAACAAGCCGCTGCCCTCGGCCGGCACCGTGGCCTGGCTCCAGGGCCTCATCTGCAGCATGAACAACACCTGCTTCACGCAGACCACGCCCGCCGAGCAGCCCGGCGTCCTCAGCAACTTCAAGGACTCCCTGTGAGCAAGCGGTGGCGGGCGCGGCGGGCGCAGACACCGGGGTGTCTGCCGAGCCCCCGCCTCATGCTCTCTCTGCCCCCAGGGTCTCCCGGCTGCTGGCAGATGCTCGCACCGTCCTGGGGGGCGCGAGGGCCCGCAGGATGCTGGCCAGCCTGGGAAAGCTGATGCCAGCGCTGAGAGCGGCAGGCGGCGCTGGTGAGGGGCCAGGGCCCTCTGGGCGGCAGGGACGCTCTCTGAGCCACGACCTGCCCAGCTGTGTCATGGTCACAGGGTGGGAGCTCTCTCAAGCCAAGCTTTGCCTTAACTCGTGCTTCTGTGTGTTCCTTGCCCAGCCCCCCCTCAGCCAAGCGACCGGCCGCAGGACCACCTACCTCTGAGCACTAAGCTACTGGGGACCCTGCTTCAAGAGGTGCGATGCGGTGGGGTGAGCGCGGTGACTCTGGGACGCTGCTCTCAGGAAGTCCTCAGCCTGACCCTCTGTCGTGTGCTCTGCTCCGCTCCCACCGTGGCCTTCTGGGCTTCCCCATCCTGGGCCAGGGGCCTCTGGTCCAGCGTCCAGGCCTTTTCCTGGGCTGTCCCTGGCTCCTGGAGGGACGCGGGATGATGTCCCTCGTCCTGTTGGTGCCCAGAAAGGCTGTGTCTAGCATGGTGGCGAGGTGCCCAGCCTGTGAGACCACATGAGAGCTTGGCAAGGTGCTACACCCCTAGTGAGAACGCCATCGAGGTCATTATCACCCTTGTGGGCTTTCTCCCCAGGAATCCCTGGGGTCTGGGCTGGACCAAGCCCGGGAGTCCGTGAGCAGCTTTCTGGAGGCAGCAGAGGACCTGGCCCAGGAGGTAAGCGGCCCAGTCGGGAGACCGAAAGGGCAGGCTGCCTGGATGGGGAGCTTCGGGGGGGAGGGCAGAAGGGAGGAAGGAGAAGGTGCTCCTGGCAGGGTCGAGATGCCCCCGGTCGAGGCTGGGTGCCATGTTCTGGGGACCTCTCCAGCTCCTGGCACTGCCCAGCCTGGTGGAGCTGCGGGCGCTGCTCCGGAGACCCCAGGGGCCGAGCGGGCCCCTGGCGGCTGTGTCCGAAGTCCTCTGCAGCGCCAGGGGCCCTGGCGTCCCAGGGGGGCCCTCCCTCAACTGGTACGAGGCCACCCACCTGAAGGAGTTGGTGGGGCAGGAGCCGGCCCCGGGGCTGCCCGACAGCACCCTGAGTGAGTGACTGACCTCCAGTCTGGGAAGGCGGGCAGTGGGAATGGGTGGGGGCAGGGCCTCACGGTGCCCCCACCCCAGGCCCTGCCTGTGCTGAGCTGATGAGTTCCCTGGAGACCCACCCACTGTCCCGCCTGCTCTGGAGGGGCCTGAAGCCGCTAGTCCTGGGGAAAGTGCTGTTTACGCCCGACACGCCCTTCACCAGGCAACTCATGGCCCAGGTAAGGGCAGGAGTGGGCCTGGGTCCCTGCCTTAGCCCAGGGAGGCCGTGCCAGGCCGGAGGGAGGGCCCTGACCCGGGAGGCTTCCTGAGATGGGTGGTGGACTCAGGTGAGTGGTGGACTCAGGGTTTTGAAGAAGTTAGAGTTGGCTAGGTTGAGGGCAGGGGAACAGAATGTGCCGGTGCTCCGAGGCACTCCCCACTCAGAGGCAGGAGAGGCGAGCAGGGGTCCTCAGAGCAGGGGAGGGGTGAGAAAGAGCTGGCCTGGCATTTATCTCGGTGCCCAGGTGAACCGGACCTTCCAGGAGCTGGCCCTGCTGAAGGACCTCCAGGCAGCGTGGGCTGTGCTGGGACCCCAGCTCTTCAACTTCTTGAACGACAGCAGCAACGTGGCCCTGCTGCAGGTGAGGCCAGGACGGAGGGTGCAAGGTCTTCCGGGGCCTCCGGGGCACAGCATCCCTGCCCAGGATGTGGGGGCGAGCGTGTGCAGGGGGGGCTGTGGCGTCCAGGGTGAGAACAGGCCCAGGGGACGAGATGAGGGGTGATGGGGCCCGGAGTGCCCGATGCAAACCCCCTCCCCCTCCCCCTCCCCCTCCCGCAGAGGCTTCTGCAAGCTCAGGACAGAGGAAGGAAACGCCCAGGACCTGGAGGCCAGGCCCCGGCCCTTCTGGCCTTTCTGGATGCCCGTGTGGACGGCTACAGCTGGCAGCAGGCCCATGCTGATGTGGGGCACCTGGTGGGCATGCTGGGCCAAACCATGGAGGTGAGCTTCGCTGGGGAGCTCCGGCAGCGGTGGGGGGCGGGGGAGGTAGGGCCCAGCCCGGCCATCCTAGGGCACAGGGGAGCCCTGGGAGGCTGAGGTGGGACACAGAGGGGCCCTGAAGACACCTGATGGCCGAAGTGGGCTGCGCCCTGGGGGCCCCGGGGAAGAAGCACTGCCTGGCAGCGAGGTTCAGGGGAGGAGCCGGGCCCCCAGGACCCACGCCCAGCCCTTCGTCAGTGTGTTACCCTGGACAAGCTGGA